ATTCATGTAGTGATGAAATACACTACATGTTAAACCTAGTCTTGGTAATTAACAGTCAAGATCAAACTCCTGAAGACGAAACACGCATCAATCACAGGCCGAGCAGAGTATTGTAAGTGAGTATGCCAGTTTTTTCTGCCAGCCTGCATCCTACTTGGTAGGTAGGAGTAGTAGCAACTAGCAAAGAAAATTCCACTTTTGAACAAGAACAATTGCGAAATTCGAGTGCTACTAGTAGTAGAAGAAAGGGTCGCTTTGATCCTAGCTTGCAAGACGAAATGGGATCCGATCGGATCGATTTGTTACCTTGGCCCAGGGTGAACTTGAACGGAGCATCGCGATCCCGGCTGGAATCGAACTTGGTGCCATCCAACAGCGTCCCCGTGTAGTGCACTGCGTCAGCGTGCGCCAACCCCCACACACAACACAATCCATCACAAAAACACCAAGTCAACGACCATCTCAGCCCAAAAAAAAAAATCCAGAAATCACCAAAAAAAATTCCTGAGAAGCGAAACGCACCTTGGACCTCGTCGCCGGCGTCGGGGCGCTCCCACCCCTCGCCCTCCTTCACCAGCTTCTTCCTGAGCCCCTCCTTCCCGATCTCCTTCTCCTCCCCGACCTCCATCTCCGCCGCGTACGGCCCCTCCCCTCCCTCCTCCCCCCCCGCACCTCCCCCGCCGCCGTACAGGTCCTCCATGCCCCCGCCGCCGAAGCCGCCCAGTCCGCCGAGGCCGCCCATCCCGCCGAGCCCACCAAGGCCGCCCATCCCGCCGAGCCCACCGAGGCCGCCCATCCCGCCGAGGCCACCGAGGCCGGCCATCGCGTCCAGGCCGGCCATGCCGGGCGGGTAGCCGAGGTCGTCGTCGTCCATTCCCCCCGCGCCGATGGGAAGCTAGCGGAAGCTTCTAGAAGGGGGACGTGCCTTCTTGCGATTTCCGAGACTGATGAGAGATTTTCCTTTTTCTTTTTATCGCGTGCGAAAGCAATGGGGGTATAGCAATAGCAGTGTGGGTTCTAGAGAGTTCTTGGGAGTTAAGCGGGGATCAGTCAGTGGCGGCGACTGCTACATCGCGCTTGACGATGACAGGTGGGGCCGGGGTGGTGGTGGGGACAGAATGTCAGTGACTGGTGGTGGGATGTGACGCGACTACGCGGGAGTCTGGAAAATGGCAGCTTCAGAATAGTAGTATTGTAACAAGTGTAGAACCTTCTCTAGAGAGTGTAGTTAACGGCAAGCTTATGCCAGTCGGTGGGAGGGGGGTCGTTGGCCGTTGTGGAATGTTCTGGAATGACTAAAATTTGTGTGGAGTTTAAAATATGTAAAACAACATGATACTTCGTGTTTTGCTGCGGAATCCATAAATTAATATATGCGAATTATTGTACAAATGATTGATAAATGTTGAGATGTTATTGACACGATGTAGAGAATATGATGTGCCATGCTTGTATAATTTAAGATGTTTATAATAGTAGTACTTCCTCTGTTTCATAATATAAGGGATTTTTTTTTCTTATTCGTCTTATTTAAAAAATTTTGAAATTATTATTTATTTTATTTGTGACTCACTTTATTATCCAAAGTATTTTAAGCACAACTTTTTGTTTTTTATATTTGCACAAATTTTTTGAATAAGACGAGTGGTCAAATAATGCAAGTAAAAAGTTAAAATCGCTTATATTATGGAACGGGGGGAGTAATTGCTAGTGGGTGATGATTATACTTGCATGTTGAGTTTTAATTTTTAATAATTGCTAGTAGGTATCACCTATATAAAAAAAGATAGATAAATGTGGCTAAATATATGGAGGGTTTGTTTGGATCCAAGCCAAAAATTTGCCGATTCATTTTTTTAGCATCACAACCATTTGTCTGGTTTACTATCAATGTTTCCCCACACTAATGCAAATTCTATTGTATCAAATTTGAGAGGACAATACTTACAAAGGTTTTGGCACTACCAAAATATGACAAAATTTACTACAAGATACTTAAAAGTGTGGTATTTGCTGGTAAATACTGTAAAAACTTAAATTTGCTTGAGGACATTTAGATATGGGGTAATTTACCATATGACTGTAAGGCTATTAAAATATTATTTCCTTTAGAGCTCGAGAGAGAATTTAACTAAAATAACTTTGCTACCATGACTTCTTCCGCCCATCCAACCAGCAAAAGGGATGGCAAAATCTTACCGACAGCAGAGGAAGCTTCCAGTGGCGAGAAGGAATAGAGAGTGGCAGTGATCAGGATGGCCGCCTCGAACTTATAGTTTTTTACTTCCTCCATCCCATTTTTATCACCCCTAAGGTTTTGTGAGATTTTTTTTTTAAATGATCATCTAACAAGCGTTCCTTTGTTTGTTTATTTGTGCAAAGAGTAAATGTACATCATAAAATGTATTGTATGTAACCAATTAAGATTAATTTCTATTGGTGCAATGCATGCAATATTTAAAACATTAGCAATCTATGGGACAAGAAGCGATGAAGCACTTTAACTGATGATAACTAATTTGAGAATGATAAATATTTTCGTATCCTTAATCTTAGTGTCATTTGCTTAGTGGGTGATCGAATTGGGATGGGGGAGTAGTGTCTACCCACAAATATCACACTTTTTAAGTATCATGTAGCACATTGTGTCATCATTTTCTTAAGGCTAATGGCGTCCTCAGCCTACTAGTCATATTTCTTGCTTTTCTTTCTTTATTTTACCTGAGAAGATATGAACAGTTATCAACATTTTAGGTGCGTTCTTTTATGCTAGCGGGATGATCAGAGAAATGCGCATGCAAACGGTGTGATTTTGTTTAAAAAAATGAATTTCTAAGATAACTACTTTAAAAGTCAGTTTTCAATTTAACAATATACAATTCATTTATTAGTCCTCTTAAATAATTATCATAGATCATTCAGTTATTCAATCATCCAGCACAAAACAACAACTTAAAATGTTTGTTTTCGTAACCACAATTTTATCTCACGTTGCCATGGCAAAAATTTGTGAGTTAATTAGGCAAAATTGTCACAAAATTTTGCGAGTCAATTAGACTGTTTGGTCGGTAGCTATACTTATGGAATATTTTTATACTTCACTAGGTACACCTCACATGTCAACGATATAGAAAAGGAGTGGCGAAGTTAATTACCTATTGCTAGCCAGAGGGTGGTTCCAATTTTTATTATCCAAATCTTTGTCAAGTTAGTGAAAAAAAATATGACATGCTTACTTAACCAAACATCGATCCCCTATATATATACCACGCAATGCGCCAGATAGTAGCCACATTCTCCACATAGGGAAAAAGCAGATGGTGATTCCAGTGCTGGCTAGCTTGAGAGAACAAGTTAATAATTTGAAATTCCAATTTTCCTTATTGCCAAGCCGGCCTGTCCACCTCAGTGTATTGCAAGGTAACTCGATTTTAACCATCTCCTCAGAGTCCAGGCTGTTAAATACTTAAACGTACATGTCGCCTAGCCGACTTCCAGCTGACGAGGCCACATGTTAACCTATGGAGGGCGGCTGGTGCTTGTCAACTAGGTGCTCTCTGCGCTCCCATCTTACATGATGGGAGCAATGCTTCTTCCAAAAGGAATCATTGACGCCATTAATAAATGTTGTCGCGCTTTCTTTTGGACAGGCGAAGATAGTTACCACGGTGGGGACTGCAAAGTGGCGTGGGATGTTGTTTGTTCCCCTAAAGACAAAGGCGGGGTTGGCATCAAAAACCTCTATGTTCAAAACAAATGTCTTCTTCAAAAATTCCTCGTCCGGCTACAAGAACCTGGGGACCCTCCATGGCTACTCTGCTTCCGGGAGAACTACGGCTGGTCTGCGACTGTTAACCTTGGCGACCCCGTCCCTCGCCCAACCCAGATCTGGCGTGATATTTCATCTGGGATCCCAGAATTTCGACGACACACTTGTGCGATCCTTGGGTGACGGGACTTCCATATCGTTCTGGGATGATCAGTGGATCGGACAGCCCTTTGCCCCTTTGCCCACCGCTTCCCTGCCATCCATTCTCACTGTACTCGGCCAAACCTTTCAGTCGCCCAAGCACTCTCGTCAACCGACCTTCAGTTGTTTCTTTGCCCCCGCTTATCAAACGCAGCTTTGCGTGAGCTTCAAGAGCTCCGCTCTCTTACCAACTCGCTAAGTGTCATGGACCAACCAGACCGTCGGCTCACCACTTCTTTTCATCCACCCTCCATGCTTGCAGCTTACTCCCAGTGTTTTGGGGTAGCTGCAACAGACCCCTTCTGGAAAAATATTTGGACGAATTTTGGTCAGACGAAGTGCAAACTCTTCCTGTGGACTGTACATAAATGACGTATTTACACTAATGAGCGCCGCTTCCGCAGAGGAATTGCACCCTCTCCTCAATGCTGCTTCTGCGACTGCGCCAAGGATGTGGAACACCTGTTCCTTCGCTGCATGAGGGCTGCTCGGGCCTAGGCTTCCATGGGCTTTGATGAACAACGAAATCTTCAAGGAGTAGATGACTCCGCCTCCCAAGTCAGACGTAGGTGCATCGATGACCTTGCGCTTGCGCTCTGGGTACATCGCTGCCCAGAGCGACTCCGCCCGTCGCTCAGCTCCTGGGTGAATAATCTTAGTGGTGTAAGGAATACTTGAGACCCTTCCTTTTCCCCCACCCCTTGTAAATATCTTTATACTTGTAATTGGACGTCTTATATTTTTAATAAATGTTCAGGCTGGTGTTAATCACCTGCTATAGTTTCCTTAAAAAAAAAACTCTGGAATAATGAACTCAGACACAAATTTGACTATTTAAGGCAGGATTGATCATCGTACTGTGATCTGACTTCCACAAGGAGAATGCTACTGCTAATTACTTGTGTTCATCGGACTATGGTGTGAACATGTCTAATTTACATAGCATATACAATTATTTTTTAAAGGAGAGCAAAAAGCTTTGTCTAGTACTATGTATTAATAGAGAGGGAGCAAAAGTACAAAGACAGCATATACATCAACCTGTGGAATTTCATTAGATAGGTAAATACAAACTTGATCACAGCGCAGTTCCCTATTACATTTTTATTTCACAAAGTTCAATATAAACTTACTGATGTGTTACAACTTGCAAGAATGAGATGTACAATACAATTAAGTATAACGTAAATTAACTTAATTTAATGTAAAAAGAACAAATGAATCATCACCCATGGATAAAGAAACAACTTTGTTTAGAAACTTCAGAACTGAGCTTGAATCCGGTCTACTATCTTCTTCTCCACCTGAAAGGCCTTGGCAAGGATATCATCTGATATGAACGGCTTCGATCCAAACACCGCATTTGCTATGGTGATGACTCCAGGGTTCTGGCTACTTAGAGCCGCAAGGGCTATAACATCTTTTGTACCATAGTTGAACTGAAAGTGGATCAACCCCTGAGGAAACACGAATACGTCCCCCTTGTTAAGAACCTTGGTGAACAGCTTGTTCTCGGGGTTGGAGGTAACGAAGCCGACGTAGAGTGAGCCCTCCAGTATAGTCAGGATCTCGGTCGCACGTGGGTGAATGTGCGGAGGGTTAAGACCATAGGGCGCATAGTCGACGCGGGCCAAAGAGATGCCCAAGGTGTTGAGCCCAGAGATCTGGGCGACGTTGACTCCTGTCACGGCCGATCCCTGCCTGTTGCTGGTGTTTCCAGCCATGTGAAGGCCGGAGAAGAAGAAGTCTTCCACGGTGATGGCCGCTGGGTCCTTGCATGCAAATCCATTGACTAGAACTGCAAGTTTGCCCAAACATGTAGAATAGTTCAATCGGATTAGTTAACAACAAAATTACCCTGTTTAACCCTAAAGACAAGTACACGCTATATTACTGATTTAAATGCACATATAAGTAAAATATATGGAAACTAACTGTAGCATGTTTGCAGTATTACCTTGCGACATCTTGTCAGCGACGCAGAAGTCCTGGAGTTGGCTGGGATCGGAGGCGAAAGCATTCGAAATCGATACAGCCAGGAGGGCAAGGAGGAAGAACCATGTTGAGGCCATTAGGAGTTTAGGACACTAATCACTAAATCAAGTGCGTGTCAATTTTAGCAGGAAACAAAAGGATGCAACGCAAAGTTTCTTGTGATGTGATGAACTGATGATGATGCTTTGCTGTGTGCTTCAAACGGGGTGAGAGATACCCAGTATATATAGAGATGGAGTAGAGTAGGAGGATCAAGCTGGCTTGTGCTTGCTTTGTGTTGAGAAAGTTAATTGGATGTTTAATATGTATTGAGGTTTGAAGAAATGGTCTACGCCAATTCTCTGGTAATTTGGAACAAGTCTGAATAAACGTGTTGTGGCCTGCCTGCAGCAGCGGCTACAGCAAATTCAGTAAGAAGCTAATATAGCTTCTGACTGATTCTTCATCATGTGTAAATTGTGCTCTCTCCAGGTGGACTCGATGGTAACGGCACCTGCTTAAACAAATTACGTCAAGCAACAATTTAATAATGGCTATGCATTACGCGTTCGTCGTTCGGTTAACAAATTCTGTTTGGGAAAACTACGTTTTAATTAGGTATCATTATCATTGAGAAAGGCATGCAGCAGTTAGCACCACAACAAGGTGTGGATTAGTCGATGTACTCGGTTTCAAGGCATGCAGAGTCTTAATAAATTTTGATATGGGAGTCCGTCCTCTTATATCCAACGTTTAATTAGGCATAATTTTGTAGATAGTATAGGCGTGTAGTCAATCCTCTGTCATTTCGGTTGGTCGAAGGAGTTTTAATCCCGTCTTCTTGGAAGGAAGCAAGCAATGAAAAGCAAGCATTATTATTTCCTTACGTGCATTTTTCTCCGGAACAAATATGGTGTTAATTTTAATTGCTATGATGAGATAAGAATATTACAATGGAGATCGGACCATTGTCAATCGATGATCAGGCCGGCCGGCAAACAGCAAACCAGTAAAGAATTAATATGATCCATATATCCACCTTGGACAACATTAATAGCCACGGCTGCTAAGTCTGCAGATACAGTACTCATCCATGGCTTAGACTTCTTCAAGCACAAAGCATGTATGATAACATTAATAAGATTTATTTCAGGATAGATAGGTATATGTATCTGCAGACTGCAGGTTGCCCATCCACGCAATATTATGTATTTTATGTATGACGCCTTCTTCCTATCTAGCTACTAGCTAGCAGTGACTCGTTCTTGGTGCTGTACGACGCATGCATGGCATGCACAGACAGACAATATTCTCTGTCATCACAATCATTACCAGAGATTTCAGAGTTCAATAGGCTATTCTGAAACCTGAACTCCCCCTATAAATACCAGCTTTCCTCTCAATCCATGACATTCTTCATCATCAGTTCATCACAATATATATATCATCAGAGCAATCTGCTATACCATAAGTATTCTTTTCTATAGAGAACTCTCTGCCTCCTCCAGGCTCCAGCTATGGCTGCTGTTGGCGCCTGCTTCCTCCAGCAGCTTGCTGTCGTTGCCCTCTTGGCTCTGTGGTGCTCTCATGGCGCCATCGCCTCCGATCCTGGCCTTCTTCAGGACTTCTGCGTCGTCGACAAGATGTCTCAAGGTACTCGATCTGCAAGAACTCCGCATATATATACTGTAATTTTGTGTGACTGACCATACTGATGATTCTGTTCACGGATCCATATGCAGTGCGTGTAAATGGGTTCCCTTGCAAGGACGCCAAGGACGTTGTCGCCGGCGACTTCTTCTTCTCCGGCCTCCACATGGCCGGCAACACCACCAACAAGCAGGGATCCAACGTTACCACCGTCAACGTTGCACAGATCCCGGGTCTGAACACCATGGGCGTCTCCCTCGTCCGCATCGACTATGCGCCCAACGGCCTCAACCCGCCTCACACTCATCCACGTGCCACCGAGATCCCGACCGTTCTCGAAGGATCTCTCTATGTCGGCTTCGTGATATCGAACCCCGAGAATAAGTTGTTCACCAAGGTTCTTAACAAGGGTGATGTGTTTGTGTTTCCACAAGGATTAGTCCATTTTCAGTTTAACAATGGAACAAACAATGCTGTGGCTCTTGCTGCTCTGAGCAGCCAGAACCCAGGGGTGATAACCGTGGGAAATGCTGTTTTTGGATCAAAGCCATCTATCTCGGATGATATCCTTGCCAAAGCCTTCCAAGTGGACAAGAACATCATAGACCGAATCCAAGCTCAATTCTAGAGAATATGGGGCATATATATGACATCCATTAGTGTGTTCTTTTATTGTTCAATTGTAGAATGTGGTTTTTGGTATTGATGAATTGTGATATTATCTTGTGTTGAAGGAAATGTTCAAATTTGAGTGTGATTCATCTGAAAGAAACTTTGGCTATGTATGTTAAAGAAAATAAACTAATCTTTCAGTAAGATCCTCTCTATAGAGTGGCCTCCTTAGAATATTTTTTTAATACATATACACTATCTATATTTTTTGGAACTGATATATACTATATCTGACTAAAGCCAAAATTGAAAGGTTGCCCCAAGTCCCTTGAGATTATTGACAATCACATTGAGCCTTCCATACATGTCATTCACACTCTCATCGGGTAACATGGCAAATGTCTCATACTGAATCTTGAAAAAGTGAAGCTTGGCATCCTTGTACTCACTTGTGCCCTCATAAATTTTACGCTCCATGTTCCAGTTCTCATAAGCTATCTCAAGATTGCTAATTCTATCAAAATCCTCTTGGTTCAAGGAGTTGAACAAGGCATTTATGGCTTGGGCATTGAATTGGAGATTGCGATGGTCAACATTCTTCAAGTTGTTGCCGGTGATAGCAAAACATACATCAACAATATTTCAAATGTGGAAGCTCATAGCCTTAAAGTGAGTAAACATCTTATTTTTTCAAGTATAATAATTTGTTCCATTATATATGGGAGCCTTCCCCACCTCGTGCGACATCTTCTCTCTAGGCAACGAAGCCCAATCAAGAGAGACCTAGCTCTGATACCACTTGTGGGATTGAGCTGTCGACTAGAGGGGGGAATAGGTGATATTAAAAATAAATTACACCTAATCAAAACTAACCTAACTTGCTAGGCTTGGTGAAGGATAAGACTAACTAAGCAACTAGATTATGTTTTGCAATCCTAGGGTGATAGGGGCTCAAGTATGTTTCTATGAATGTAAATTGCACAATAGTAAATGTAATAAATAAATGAGACAAGAGACAAGAAATTTTTCACCTGAGGTTCGGAAACTCGCAGGCTTCCTAATCCCCATTGAAGCGATCCCAACTTCACCACTCAAACCACGAAGCCACCGAACCCCTTCGTCAAGAGGTGGGCAAGGTGGGAGCCAGCCCCGAAGTGGACTAACCAAGCTTCGATCATTAAGGTAGTTTATTTCCTTCACCTCAAAGGCGGTGAACTCCAAACCACACACAACCAACACCAAGCCTCTTCCACAATCTTCTCGGAGAGGTCATCGGACAACTTCTCCAAGCCGTCTAGGAGGTGGCAACCTACAAGAGTAACAGGCAACACTTGACTCGGACATGATCAAGTGCCGCACTAGCTCTAACAATACAATGCACTTGTCTTGGCTCAAACAACCCTCCAACACCAACAATGAATGAACAAATGCTCAAGAGGCGTGAGAGTGAGTACAAGAGATGTATGCAAATGAATTATGTGCCAAGAAGATCCCCTTGCTGCTGGTAGGGGAGTATTTATGCCCCCACCCACAAAAACTAGCTATTCGGGGTGAAATCCCCATCCTCAGACAGGCCTCCATTTTAACAGCTACAAAACTAGCCGTTACACTGTTACAATGCATTTAATGCATGGGCGATGGCTAGCCGGTCTGACAGCCGGATTGGGATCGCTATAGCTACTGCAACTTAAGCAGTCCTATGGCCACCATTGGATCAGAAATTGACGTCCTAGATCTCACCTAAATACTGTTCACAGAAAACGTATTCCTGTAGCAGGTGCTGTAGCTGTTACTGTATAAAACTGTTGTAGCATCAGTTTGGACCATTGATTGCCTTGATCCAACTATGAAAAATAGTCCCAACTGCCAAACTTGCAGTCTCTAACTATGACTGCACTGGATCCTTATCCCTGACAGCCATTGGTCTACCAGTCAGATCGGTCGCAGCGCGGTCACACTGGTGTCGGCTCTATTAGCTCTGGATCACCAAACGGAGGCCATCACACCGGCTCACTGGCTGCCCGGTCAGACCGAGCCCGACCCAGTCAAACCGTTAGGACATGCCGATTAGACCGGTCTCAAACAGAAAACATGAAGAATAGGTCGAACCAAGCCCTCATGCAAATAACCTAATGTGGCATTTTGATCACTTCTGCGCTGAAGTATTACCGTTCTTGATAGTATGGCAAAGCTAGAAATAAACCTACCAAAAATCCGATCGCCCAACACCGCGCTCGATTAAAATAAAATGCTAGATTTATCACCTTTATCTCATTGCCTTGCGCCATCAATTTTAATCCGTTGTAATCATCCAATGTATGTACATCATGTGGTCTTAACTGAAATATATCACTCGAATAGAATAGTTAGTCTACAATTAGTGCTCGTCACTAATTACCAAAATTAACAACGGGGTCCTAGATGCTTTAGCGCCCTTGGCAAAGCTTCATAGTGGTAATAGCTAGAACCTAGAACAACTGAACACAGCGATCATCACTTTGCTTCTTAAGAAGGATGCACCAACTTTGATCAAACACTTTAGACCTATTAGCTTGATACATAGTTTTCAAAGCTGGCGGCAAAAATAATGGCGACAAGGCTTGCGCTAAGAATGGGGGAATTGGTGGCGACAAATCAGACGGCTTTCAGTAGAAAATTTTGTCTTAGTCAAAGGCTTGGCGATGCAGTTTCAAAGAGGAAAAACCCAATGATTTTAAGTCACGAAGGCTTTTGACACGATCTCTTGGGGTTTCCTGCTAAACATGCTGAGAAGCCGTGGGTTTGCAGCCAGGTGGCGCAGCTGGATTTCTACTCTTATCCTCACAGCTGAAATATCAATTCGCGGTGAATGCAAAAGACAGCGACAGATTCAAGCCTGTGAGGGGATTGAGACAAGGCGATCCTCTGTCGCCTCTGCTCTTCGTCCTGGTAATGGACACACTGTGGAGTCTCCTGGCGAAAGCCACCTCGTGGGGATTGTTGGCAAGTTTGGACGTTAGAAGACCGATCCCCCAACACCTCTATCTACACGGACGACATTGTAATTTTCTTCTGACCGATGGAACAGGAGGCACGAGCTATTTTCCCAATCTTAGAACTGTTCGGGAATGCCATGGGGCTGAGAACCAACCTGGGCAAGAGTGCACTTACACCGAGTCAATGTGATGAGGACAGCACAGAGATTATCAAAAGCTTGTTAATATGAAAGAGTGGAAGTGTTTCCAATTGTTTACCTTGGTCTCCCTCTTTCGGTTAGAAACCAACAAAAGCAGAGGTGCAAATTCTTGATTGGCAATCAAAGAAGGTAGCAGGGTGGAAACCCAAAATGCTATCATCCGATGGAAGACTGCGCCTCATCAAGTCTGTGCTCACGGCGCTTCCTATCCACTTCCTTTCTATGCTTTAGCTTCCAAATTGGGTAATTAAAGAATTTAACAAGAAATATCGAGCCTTTCTGTGGAAAGGACAGGAGGAAGTGAATGGTGGCCACTATCTAGTAGCTTGGGTTGTGCTGTGTAGCCCGATTGAATGTGGTGGGTTGGGCATAATGAACCTGGAGTTTTTCGGCCAAGCACTTCGACTAAAATGGCTAGCACAAAGACTAGAGCAGAAGGGGCGGCCTTGGACTCTGGTGAACTCAAGACCAACAACCGATAAGCAAGATCTTTTCAGGGCTGCGAGCACTTTAGAGGTCAGCGACGAGAAGGGCATTAATTTCTGAAGAGAAGGTTGGCTGCCCAGTGGAAGCATAAACATCCATTTTCCTATCTTAGCAACTTTCTCGGCAGGACAAAGCTGACAATGGCACAAGGGTTAGTGCAGCATTGTTGGGTACATGATCTCAGGGGAAGCTTGTCAAATGACACACTGATGGAGTACTTCATGCTTTGGGACGGAATCAATATAGTACAATTACATGGGGAGATTCAAGTGCAAGAAGAGGATCAAGAGTCCATCAGATGGAAGCTAACAGTGAATGGGATGCACTCGGCGGCATTGGCTTATGACATGTTCTTCATTTCACGCATCCGCTCTCTTAGTGTTGATCTGATTTGGTAGGCAAGAGTGCCATCGCGCATCAAATTCTTCATGTGGCTGCCAACAAAAGGAAGATGTCTCACGACAGATAATCTGCAAAAAGTTGTGGCCGCATGGGGATGTGTGTCCTGTGCAATATCTAGAATGAGAGCTACGAACACCTATTGGTTTCATGCCGCTTCACGAACAGGGTTTGGAGAATGCTGACAGGATAGTTGGAGGTGCAGTTCCTACTGCTAGAAGAAGGGATCGAAGGGCTATCAAAGTGGTGGCGACAAGCCCGGCTAGGTTATGGCTACAGGGAGGCCTTCGACTCGTTGTGCATGCTTGTTTGCTGGGTGGTTTGGAAAGAAAGGAATGTCAGGATTTTCGAGCACAAAAACTGCATGGCGGCGTAGGTCTACAGGGCTATCCAGGAGGAAGTCCTCGTTTGGAGAGAAGCCGACGTGTTCAAAGAATGAGAGTAAAGCTCAGGGAAAGCTTTTTTGTTTTATTTTGGGGTCTTTGGTTTCCCGCTGATCTCCCTACTTCGACTGTTTAAAGTCGAACTGTAACTTGGACTCTTGCTCTTTCTTGTTAATACAATTCGGTCGGTCGATTTTCAGCCGATTTGGCAAAAAGCATATGAAAAGTCAAAATTACTGATAAATGAAAGGGGTAGTTATAAGGCAGCGTATCCTATGCACACAGGCCCTCGCGTGTACACACCGTGTACACCAACTAAAAATTATCACAAAAAATTCTAGGAAAATTCATATATGTACTTTCAATAGTATTACATCTACGTGTAAAGTCGCATCTTCAAATTCATTCTACATAGAGAATAACAAAAAAGATAAAATTCTGACAAAATTGCAACCTTAAAACTGTCAGATTTTTTGTTTTTTTTGTTACGGCTAAAATACAATGAATTTGATGTTAAGATTTTAACCCTAGGTGTAATACAATTGAAAGTATGTGTATGATTTTTTCTAGATTTTTTGGTGACATTTTTTAGTTGGTGTGCACGTGTGTACACGTGAGGGCCTGTGTACATCGGATATGTTGCCTAGTTATAATCCACTAAGTGCATTTAAAGTTATGAAGGAGCCGTCACGTAAGCCACATACGACTACATATTTGATTTTTTGGACGAGATCCCCATTAAGTTGCAGGCAAGCCATAAGTGCTCTTGCCTGCAAAAATCGCTCTCCTGAGAGATGCGGCCCCTTAAGAGGTCCGTATGCAATGATAGCCCATATATCCCCACCCAGCCCAAGCTACACCCATTTGTACCGAAAGTTTCTCTACAAAACGAAGTAATAAATAGGTGGAAGGTTTTCTACTTAAAATCGATCTTCCCGTGCAGTTAAACCGGCTGCATGCCAAAATGATGATTTTCGCGGACACCTGCGGGCCGCCCAATTATACATGCAAAGATCCATTTTGGCTGCATGTAAAAAACGATTATGTACTAGTGACATCATTAAAACTGTCTTAACACATTGGTTCGATATATATCTCTCTTAAATATATGTTGTCAGATCAACATTCGTGTGTAATACAAATGAGCCCCTTATATCTGGCAGTCAATTTTGAATTTTAACAAACAGTTTCTACTATCAGCTATAATAAAATACTATTACCATCATTTAATTTCCCAAATTCCTCCATATATGTACATCTAAATATTAAAAACAAATCCAAGACAGCACTGGGGTAATTATATATTAAGGTATAACAATTTGGTACGTAGATGTAATAATTTAGTATTTTTAAACAGATAGAGTACTAGCTAGTAGAATACACATCATATATTCAAAGTTTATAATTCTCTCCTAACGGTACAATAGAGATAGTGAAGTGGTCTCTAAATTATACTTCCTCCGTTTCGTATTATAAGCATTTCTAGCATTACCCATGTTTATATAAATGTTAATAAATTTAGAAATGAGCAATGCTAGAAGATCTTATAATATAAAACGGAGGGAGTACATACACAGAGAGATCGGGAGAAAGGGTCTTTAATTCGCTAGCGCTAATGATATATATATCTCCATCGGAATATGTCGACATACGTAATTAATGTACACTCAGAACATGTCGAACCTGCAGCAGCTGCGGCACACTGTTAGCCAACAAACATTCAAACAGCAAGTAAAGCGAACACGGAAAAGCTCTCGTATAAGCGGATGAGCCTGACAAATCGATCATGAATCTGGTTTAACTTTTAACGCTGTCACGCATCACCATATGAATGCATGCCGTGATCCAACTATCCTTCATTGAACATAAACTAATTTAGCGTCGTATTTCCTAATTAATATATATAATTTGTCGTCATTATACACCGTTGTTAGCCTCCAACTGGAGGTTATACGTATAGTATACACTTAGCTTTCTGTCGTGAAATGCATGCGACCTGTTCAACAATTATTAGTTTCCTCGTAATTATTCTATTCTAGCCGTCTTCGTGTCTATTATATCCACATGATGCATGCACGCCGGCTGCACAGATAATTTGGGAGTACCAAAGAAACTACTGCAATTTTTTTTGAGTAAAAGAATTTTTAGATGTAATTATCGTATAATTGAAATGTAATTATATTGTAACTACATTTAACTGTATTATATCTGTATTATAATTACGATATAACTTATATAAAACTTGCATTCAAACTATAGTTTGGTTAGCTGGAACCGAGATCTTACATGCGATATGTGTGAAAATTACTTTCTAGTAATTTTTTCCTTCATACACAAATCTTGAGGCAATCCGATGATCACAAATATAAAAATTTTAGGGGCAAAAAAATTTGCATAAGTTTTCTAGCAAATTAATAACAAGATCGATCGATTTGGCTTCCTAGGCCCTAGCTAGCTTAATCAGTTTCTATAGCTAATCCTCCCTATAAATAGGCTTCCTCGCCATTCTCACTGATCACACACATTCACAGAATTTAGCAAGTTAAGCTCGTATAGCTGCTTGCTAATTAATTTATGTTAATTAGTAGCTAACCTAGCTGACCGATCGAACGAAGCAATGGCCGCCATTCGCGCCTCCTTCCTCCTTGCCGCCGCCGCTCTCCTGGCCTTGTGGTGCTCTGACCATGGCGGCGTCGTCGCCTCCGATCCGAGCCATCTCCAGGATCTGTGCGTCGCGGACAAGGCGTCCACGGTGCGCGTCAATGGCGTCGCTTGCAAGGACGGCGAGGACGTCGCCGCCGAGGACTTCTTCTTCTCCGGCCTCCACATGGCCGGAAACACCACCAACAAGCAGGGCTCCGCCGTCACGGCGGTCAACGTCGCGCAGGTCCCCGGCCTCAACACCCTCGGCATCTCCCTCGCTCGCATCGACTATGCGCTGCATGGTCTCAACCCTCCTCACACGCATCCCCGTGCCACCGAGATACTCACCGTGCTTGAGGGCTCACTCTATGTTGGGTTCGTGACATCCAACCCCGAGAATAAGCTGTTCACCAAGGTTATCAATAAGGGGGATGTGTTTGTTTTTCCTAAGGGGCTTGTCCACTTCCAGTTCAACTATGGGACAACTGATGCGGTTGCTATCGTCGCACTGAGTAGCCAAAACCCTGGGGTGATCACTGTAGCCAATGCGGTGTTTGGATCAAAGCCATCCATCACAGATGATATCCTTGCAAAGGCCTTTCAAGTAGAGAAGACAGTGGTAGACCAAATCCAAGCTAAGTTCTAAGTGCTCAGGGTGATGTGGATCAAGATCAATGTGTTTATGGAACAGATTATGTTTTCTCTTCAATTGTGTTGCGTCCTCTGTTATTAATTCGATTATATTTTGTGTTTATTGAGTCTGTTGTGGCCTTGTATGTTCTTTTATTTCTGAAGTAATTAAAGCAATTTTCTTCTTATAGTTGGTCGTCAACTTCTCCTTAATTGTTTGTGTGACCCTGAAATAACTGTTACTTTTGAAGATTAAAAGATGAAAAATATGAGATGGATGTTAATTCAAGCATCTGGCTTTATTGGCTTTATCATGTGCTTCTAGCTTTAGGTGCTCACACTCGCACATTTTAAAACAAACACTTGGTAACATATTTAATATTTGATGCCTTGGGGTGCCATCCATCACCCCCACAAAACATAAGAAATGGACAAATGGACAAATGCAAGTGAGGTCATGATTAAGTTATACTAATATGATTCAAAGGAATAGAGGGTTTAATCTTTTCGAAGAAAAAACTACGGCGTGTACAACTATGGTTTTACCTTAAAAAATGGTAATTGAATTAGAATTGCAAAGTGGGAGAAAGTAAAGTGGACAAAACAAACATAAAAGACAAACCTATGAAAACAAATCAAACCTGACAAAAATAGAAACATTTTTCGAATTCAAGAGCACTAAGAATTTTCAAAAAAAGAAAAAGGAGTATAACTTTCATCGTCGAAAGAACTAAAAGTGTCACATCCAGGGTCTAATACGGTTCAAACATCTAACTACATGTAGACTGTAGAGAAGATGTTACATTGGTAGCCGCCCAGCAAATTAATCCGTACCTCCGTATTTTGGGACGTATAGGTAGTACCATAGGGAATATTCTTAATCTAATTTTTATGTAACTATCCATTAAGATTTGAACCTTTTAATATCAAGAATTCAAGGAAATTTACAACAGAAGTAGTTGGGGTGGCAGATTCACTGACACAACCGTGCAAAGGACCCAATGTGCATGCTGCTCTGCTTGTCAATTGTGACCAAGCAATAAAACACTTCAGGACTACAAGTAGTATAATTACATTGGAAAATATGGAGCAACATTTTATGGTCCAAGCTGAGTTTCAATTCATGAGCAAACTACTAGTAATTTTAGACAGTATTTACATAAGGATCACAGTGAAAGGAGATATATAGGTTTTAATGGTTCATCTGGACACGGTTGATGAGCAAAAGAACGTACGTGTAATTAAAATTACCTAAACCACTATGGTTTGTCTAAGGCATCGGATGCATATCCTAGAAACCAGTAAAAGATAGCAACTCCAATCTTTAACTGTAATCCTGAACAAGTTCAGCATCTACGTGTGCCATGATGGTGTTAACCCAAAGGTTCCATATCGACGCTGTCTGACATCTTCAAGGCTTGCAAAGCCTCGCCGCACAATTCCAATTAGAGTGATAAGCATGTTTTCTGAAGGACTATCATGCTTAGGAATGTCTGCATAATAAACACATCATAGAAAAAAAAAGGGGCACACGGAGCAGCAGTTGTGTTATTTGGGCATGTTTAATTCATCTGTGGTTCAAAATCTCTATGGTTTAGCTCCTCTATGCAGTAGATCAGTTGCAGCAAGGAATAGAGTGCGAACAATGAGGTTATCAAACAATATCTCAGTGTAACCAAAGGGACAAAGGATACCTTAATGCATTTTTCATCTCAATATTCTCTGGTTCCAACTTGAGACCATCAAGAAATTGTTAGAATTTCAATGGTTACTCTCATTGAGAAGAGGATGGCACTCGAGATGGGGCAATTTTCTGGTTTTCTTCATTCACTAAACACAAAAGCCATACCTACCCGAGGGAGGTTGGATACATATATATAGCCATAGCTGGCTACTAGCCTATTGCTGCACCCTCCTAGTCTAAAATTCGAAATTTGAATGGGATGTTGTCCTAGAGGGCATCCAAACTGAATAAAGCATAAAGGAGGCATAAAGGAGATGCTAACTGCTGCTGTCCTACTAACCGCAGCTGTCCTAGCAACTGAAAAATATGCTAAAGGGTAGATGCTGTCCTGAAAAAGGTGAAACTACCCAAAAGCAAAAAGAAGAATCACGACCAAGGACCACAAAGACTTATCCAACATTCTCCCCCTAAGTCTTGTGCGTCGTCTTGTGGGGAAGTTGGGCCATCCCGATCCTGGAGCAGAGCTCGAGGAACTTGATCCTCCCAAGAGGCTTGGTGAGCAAGTCCGCAAGCTGGTCCTTGGTGTTGATGTAGCTCGCCTTGATGCTCCCTTCCTCCAAGTAGCTTCGGATGAAGTGGTACCTCACCCGGATGTGCTTGCTCCGTTCGTGAAAAACGGGGTTCTTTGGCAGGGCCAGAGCGGACTTGCTATCCACCCTGAGCTCCACCGTTCCAGTGTCTCTGCCGAGGAGATCACTAAGCAGTCGAGCAAGCCAGAGCGCCTGGGTCAAAGCGGCGGAGGCCGCCATGTACTCGGCCTCGCAGCTGGACAAGGCCACCACCTGCTGCTTGACCGACTGCCAGCTAACGAGGCACTTGCCGAGGAAGAAGAGAATCCCGCTCGTGCTCTTGCTGGTGTCGATGTCGCCGGCGTGGTCGCTGTCGCTGTACCCGATGAAGTGTGCCTTGCCAAGACACCTCGGGTAGTAGAGACTGTGGTCGAGAGTCCCCGCAACGTAGCGGATGATCCTCTTCACAGCCTGCTGGTGCTCCGTCGTCGGTCGCTGCATGAACCGACTGACGTAGCCAACGGAGAAGGCCAAGTCCGGCCGTGTGTGGGTGAGGTAGCGAAGGCTCCCCACAAGACGTCGGTACTGTGTAGCATCTACCTCCTCCGCCATGCTGTCGCGGCTCAGCTTCAGTCTCTCCTCCATCGGAGTGAGAGCTGGGTTGCAATCGGTGAGCCCAGCCAGCTCAACGACGCGCTTGGCGTAGGCGGTCTGTCGAAGTGTGATCCCGGAGTTGTCCTGGTGCACTTCGATCCCCAGGTAGAAGGAGAGAGGCCCCAGATCACTCATCTGGAAGGTGGCCTTCATCTCCTCCTTGAACGCCGCGACCTCCGCATCCTTGGTGCCGGTGATCACCAAGTCGTCGACGTAAACACCCACCAGCAAGGCATTTCCTCCATTGCCCCGCTGGTAGATGGCCGCCTCGTGCGGGCTTTGCTCGAAGCCCATCCCCTTGAGCGTGGAATCCAACTTGGCATTCCACGCCCTCGGTGCCTGCCGCAAGCCGTAGAGGGCCTTGTGCAGGCGTAGCACCTTGCCCTCCTTGCCGGGGATCACAAATCCCGGCGGCTGGTGCACGTAGACCTCCTCCTTCAAGTCACCGTTTAGAAACGCCGACTTGACGTCCATGTGATGGATGCCCCAGCCTTCCTGAGCAGCCAGCGCAAGAAGGAGTCGCACAGACTCCATCCGTGCCACGGGAGCGAAATCATCGTCGTAGTCGATCCCCTCCTGCTGCACGAAACCGCGTGCCACCAAGCGAGCCTTGTGCTTGACGATGGCTCCGGCTTCATCCCTCTTCAGCTTGAACACCCACTTAAGGGTGATCGCGCGGTGACCACGAGGGAGGTCAGCAAGCTCCCAGGTGCGGTTCTCCTGAACCGGGTCCATCTCCGACTGCATCGCGGCACGCCATGCCGCGTGTTTCTCGGCCTCTACATAAGACCGAGGCTCACCGTCGTCGCACGCAAGGTGCAACTGCGCCTCTAGGTCGCGAGGCACCAGTCCCGGCACCGGCTGGTCGCCGAGAAGATCCTCCATTGTACGGTACCGTAGCTGCTCGCCGTCGTGGTACGCGTCGATGCGCTCCCCGTCGTGGGAGAGCGGAGTAGCGAACTCCACCGGGCTGCGCTCAACACGAGCTGGCGTCGGAGTAGACGTGCTTGGAGGAGTGGCTGTTGGTGCTGGAGCATGTGGAGTCACTGGCTGGGGTTGTATCGACGAAGAGCTCGTCGTAGTCGAAGTCGTGGCCCGAGGGTGTGTTGGTGTCGGAGTCGGTGGAGATTCGGGGGCTGGGGTAGACACGCTAGGTGAAGAAGAGCTGCCTACTCCCCCAGCTCCCTCGAAGTGGACGTACTCGACGGTGAAGTCGTCATACATCGGAGTCAAACCATCGTCCACCGCCTTGTCCCATACCCACCCTCGCCCTTCGTCGAACACAACGTCGCCCGCAGTGCGCACACGCTGTGTCTCCGGGTCGAGGATGCGGTAGGCCTTCGAGCCCTCCACGTAGCCGATGAACACCCCTGGGGTGCTCCTGTCGTCGAGCTTGCCAATGTGGCCAAGCTCCTTGGCGAACGCGAGGCAGCCGAAGACCCGCAGGTGGGAGACTGCCGGCTTGCGCCCATGCCAAGCCTCGTACGGTGTCCTGCCATCGAGGGCCTTGGTAGGCGAGCGGTTGAGGATGTAGGCGGCCGTCACCACCGCCTCCCCCCAGAAGATGGCCGGCATCCCCCTCTGCTTGAGGAGGGCCCGAGCCATCCCCACAACCGTCTGGTTGCGCCGCTCGATGACGCCGTTCTGCTGCGGGCTGTACGGCGTGGTGTAGTGGCGCTAAATGCCCTCATCAGCGCAGTACGACGCGAATTCAGCCGCTGTGAATTCGCCGCCGTTGTCGGTGCGCAGCACGCGCAGCTTGCGGCCGCACTCCGCCTCTGCAGCAGCCTGCGCATGCCTGATGGTGTCCGCAGCCTCTCCCTTGCTGCCGAGGACCATCACCCACATGTAGCGGGAGAGGTCGTCGACGAGCAGTAGGAAGTAACGTCGTCCTCCTGGTGTGGCCGGTGTCACTGGGCCACACAAGTCCCCGTGCACGAGCTCGAGCCGCTCCTTGGCTCGGAAGCTCGTCTGCTGGGGAAAGGGGAGCCGCCGCTGCTTCGTCACCACGCAGATGTCGCAGAGCTGCTCCACGTGGTCAAGACACGGCATGCCTCACACCATCTCCTTGGCACTGAGCTGCTTCAGGGCCTCGAAGTGGAGGTGCCCGAAGCGCTCGTGCCACTGCCACGCCTCGTCGTCCCGACGAGCGGCGAGGCAAACTGGTTGTGCGACCTGCGCGCTGAGGATGTAGAGTCGATTAGTGCCTCTGGTTACCTTGGCAAGAAGGCGACGACGGCGATCCCAAATCCTCATGAGTCCGTCCTCGACCAACACGCGTGAGCCGTTCTCATCCAGCTGTCCCACGCTGATGATAGAATTCCTCAACGCGGGGATGTAGTAGACTCCGGTGAGCAGCCTGTGCTCACCGGACTTGGCGGTGAAGGTGACGGAGCCAACACCCTTGATCTCCACGCCGGAGGCGTCCCCGAACTTGACGGAGCCTCGGACGCTGGAGTCGAACTCGGTGAAGAACTCCCGTCGGCCGGTCATGTGATGGGTGGCGCCGGTGTCGAGGTACCACCCATCAGCCTTGTCATTGCTAGAGCCGTTGCAGAGGGAGACGAGTACCTTCGGCTCATCAAGGTGGAGGAAAGCCGCTGCGGCCGGTGCCACTGGAGGTAGCTCGATGCTTGCGTGAGCCAGGAGCAGAGCCGGCTCTTCCTCCACCCGTGTGACGTGGGCCTGGCCACGTCGTGGCTGTCAACAGTCTTTGGCCCAATGGCCAAGCTTGCCACAGTTGCGGCAGGCGTCGTCTCGTGTCGGCTTGTGGTTGCCGGTGGCAACGCCCTGGGCGCCTCTGCGGGCGCCACCCTCGGCACGTCTTCGCGCCCACCGTAGCTGGACACCTCCCCGCGCCTTGCGCGGCTTACGGCCGCCTGTCGGGGAAGATGACTCCCCCTTCCTCCCGTCACCCTGAGAGGCCTCCCACTGCTCCCGAGTGAGATGGAGCTTCCCGCCGATGGTGATGGGCCCCGAGAGAGGCTGTGGCTCATCACCATCGACGACCTTGAGGCGACCTAACGCCTCCTCGATCGATATCGTGGAGAGGTCCAGCAGAGATTCAATCGAGCGAGCGATCTGCCTGTACTTCTCAGGGACGCAGCGGAAGAGCTTCTCGACAGCTCTCTCCTCGTCATAGGTGTCGTCGCCGTACTACACCATTTTCTGCAAGAGAGTGTTGAGATGGAGAGCAAAGTCATCAACATCCTCACCTGGCTTGAAGGCCAGGTTCTCCCACTCCTTGCGGAGTGCCTGCAGTGTGGACTTGCGGGCGCGGTCGCTGCCGATGCGTGCCGCAGCGATGGCGTCCCAGGCCTCCTTGGCAGTCCGCTTCTGGGAAAGCGAGAACTGCATCTCGGGCGGGACTGCAACGATGAGGGCATCCAGTGCCCGCCGATCCTCGTCGTAGTCGACGTCACCGTACCGGACTGCCTCCCACATGTGCCGCACCTAGAGCCTCACCCTCATCACCGCGGCCCACTCGATGTAGTTGGTTTTGGTGAGGGTAGGCCACCCACCGCCGGGACCAAAGTCCCTGACCACCGTCTGGACGCCGTGGTGACCATGGCGCCGGTCAGGGGAGAGAGAGCCGTGCTGCCTGCGAGGGCCGCGTGCGAGCTCCGAGCTGCCGCCGGCACGCCTGCGCCCGTCTGGGTTCCCGTCGGCGGGCGCGCGGTCCCTTGGGCCGCCGCCGCCGCCGTGGAGGTGGGCTGCTGCCCACCGCTCTGCTCGCTCCCGTGCCCTTCCTCTTGCCAGCTCCTCAAGCTCCCTGTCGGCGGTGATGTCGCCGGCGATGGATTCCGTTGATGCTGCTGCGCAAGGTCTCAACCTCTACCTCCGCCGCACGTGCCACATCTTCCGCCGCCTCCGCCTCCGCCTCCACCCTAGCTGCTGCCAACTCCGCTGCCGCCAGTCTAGCCGCCCTCGCTGCTGCTGCAGCGGTCTGAGCCGTTGCTCGCCTGCGCTCTTCTGCTGCGGCGAGCTCGGCGTCCTGCTGACGCCGAGTGCTCGAGGCGACCGAACGCCGAGACCGAGCGTCGGACATGGCGCACCTCCGGGGGGCTGCTGCGTGGAGAGGGGGAAGGGAAAGGGGAAGGAGGAGCAACCGGTGCTGTTGCTGCTGCTGGCTGAGAGCTCAACCGAGCTTGGGAGGGGGTGGAACAAGAGATGTTTAGCCTACAGGAAAGTGTGGCTCTGATACCAGATGTTAGAATTTCAATGGTTACTCTCATTGAGAAGAGGATGGCACTCGAGATGGGGCAATTTTCTGGTTTTCTTCATTCACTAAACACAAAAGCCATACCTACCCGAGGGAGGTTAGATACATATATATAGCCATAGCTGGCTGCTAGCCTATTGCTGCACCCTCCTAGTCTAAAATTCGAAATTTGAATGGGATGCTGTCCTAGAGGGCATCCAAACTGAATAAAGCATAAAGGAGGCATAAAGGAGATGCTAACTGCTGCTGTCCTACTAACCGCAGTTGTCCTAGCAACTGAAAAATATGCTAAAGGGTAGATGCTGTCCTGAAAAAGGTGAAACTACCCAAAAGCAAAAAGAAGAATCACGACCAAGGACCACAAAGACTTATCCAACAGAAATGAGTTGCATGCCTTTTTGTAGTCCTGAATGCATAAATATCGGAACATAAAAAATGATCTCTCAGAAAATGTTTGAAATACCACAACAAAAAAAAATGTTCAAAAGATGATTTGAACATTTTGTCCCACCTTCAGTAACATTAGAGCAGTTCCTTTACGGTAGCAAGCTTTCGGCCAGTCTGGTCGCATCATCCTGCAAGCTTCAGCATCCATCAAAGCCTTCTTCCCCTCACCCAAGTGAAGCCAACAAAGGCTCCTATTTGAGAATAAAGATGCATCTCTAGGATTGAGAGCAATAGCCTACAAGCCGAAAATATTCACTTTCAAATAGTCAATCTACTGTCCGTATTTAATTTAAAGATATAAAACTAAAACAACGGAAGCTATTTCAAATGTCCAAGGTAAGTTAGATTGGAAACAGCTGCATTTTAACATGAAAGTGTAATGGTGTACCGCAGTATAAATGTTCATGGCACCAAGATAATCTTTATTCTTGACTGCTTCACGGCCTTGGAATTTTCCCATATCAAGCGTAGCTTCACAAAAATCTTCCTCCTGAAACATAGAGAAAAATCAAATGAAATATAGGTTCATTACCACAATTATCCGTTGCCCACACTCAGTACTCAGTTGTGTCAGTTATTATATTTTATCCTTGTGTAGGTGCAAGATGTCAATATTATGTAGTTCCATTTCCAACACAAGAAAAGTCATGTGATTGTTACAACTCACTGTTTTTATCGTCTTACTTATTTATAACTCCACAGTACGTATCCTCTACAAGCCAAGAAGAACCCACTAGTATACAGTAGCGGTGAGTCATGCAGACATTGGGAACTTTCAAGATGTTTCTAATGAACATATCTAGAAAAAACATACTCAAGTAAATTTAAACAAAACTAGTGAACTCCTATAAATTTTTCTTTTGCCACTATAAATGTGTGAAATTAATTCTCGCATAAAAAAAGTTGCAATTTTCATTTCAATAATTCCACCCATTTAGCTTTTGTCACTACTGTCAGTCAAGGGTTGAATTGTGCTAACAAGGGCATAAAAAGAAGTTTCTGCCCCTAAATCCAAAATTTGGTTTTGCCACCAGTGGAGGTGCCAAAAATTATGGAAGAAAATTTCTCAATGTCATAATTTTAGGAGGCTCTAAAAACTAATGTTGAACGTGCAATTAAAGTCCTTATAGCAACATGCTGAATATCAAAAGGTTTGAAGCATTGTTTTAACAAAGAAATACTAAAATTTGCTTCCATATTATTTTCCTAACTTTCAAAAACCCTCAAGAATCGGCCGAAGGAGGTGCGAAAGGGGATTAACTCTTTGGTGACCCAAGTGACTTGGAAGATTTGGAAGCACCGCAACGACAGTGTTTTTAATGGCACCAACCCTAGGAGTTGCGACGGTCTTGCAAGTGATAGAAAATGAGGGTAATCTTTGGTGTATTGCAGGAGCTTTTGCCCTTCAAAAGCTCCTTAGTGGAACGGCAAACCAGGGCAGCTAAGCTCTTCGGGTGGTCTTGGGTAGTTGGGTGTGCGGATTTCAGTAGGAGGGCTCGGGTCCTCCTACTTTGTAAAAAATATCTTTGTTTTTGTTTTTTCTTCCCCTTAATGAAATGAAATGCAGCTCTCCTGCGTTTTCGAGAAAAAAAAACCTCAAAAAATACCACACATTCTGCTAGACTTTTTACAAAAAGCTATGGCATCACAACCACTTGTGACAACAGGGGTAAAGGAGGGGCAGAGGGAGACCAGCTGGCCTCCCCCAACCATGCATTTTATGTTTAGTACCTACTAACTAATTAATCCTTTAATTACATGATTATGTCAAGCAGTTTGGTGTAGGCATTCAAGCTTCCAACACCAACTACGTTTACATGCCCAAACAAACTAGTAGTATACGCCTTCGCCTTACTGCATCCTGAGCTGTGCATAGATTCTAACGCAAAGAAATGCAATGACGTTTCAACACATACCATTGTCCACTGCCAAATATCCATTTCTTTGTAAATATTGTTAGATTTGCCTCTCCACTTAAATTTAGAATAATAAAATCTTTACCATTGTGTACTTAGCAAATTATAATAATAGGCACGCGGGAATATTCCTTTGTATGGTCAAAACATATAAATATGTTTATATGATTTACTATCCATGTAAAAATGCTTGAATTTTGCATGTATTGTGATTTTTTTATAGATCATTGTCACACAAATAATTAGTTTAAGCACCCCCCCCCCTCCCTAGTCCAAATCCTACTGGGAGACAAAAACAAGCTTGGAGAAAGAAACATGGTGATCTTTCACTTAGCTTACAGTAGTGGTATAGGAGAAACAAGAGTGGAATTGGGAGTGGCAAAAGCGAAATGGGCAGAATGCTTATGGCAGAAACAGTAATGCGCACATTTGTAGGCGTAGGAAGAGTAGGACATGGTATGTTCATCAATGCTAAATTGCTAACAACGAACATGACTCTAGGGTTCTTGTCTTCATGATATTATGTATTTATCCCATATAGGTCCTGAGTTTTGTAATATCTGTCATTGTCTAACTAAAAACATGAAGGTCCACATGTCTGTAAGACAACAAGTGATATCCCCCTTATAATTCTTACTAAAGGGGACCCACTAGCAAAGCTTTAAAAGTCACTAAAGCATTAGAACAATGCTTATGGCAGAAACAGTAATGCGCACATTTGTAGGCGTAGGAAACTAGTACAAGGTGAAGGCAAACTTAGGAGTAGGACACGGTATGTTCATCAATGCTAAATTGCTAACAACGAACATGACTCTAGGGTTCTTGTCTTCATGATATTATGTATTTATCCCATATAGGTCCTGAGTTTTGTAATATCTGTCATTGTCTAACTAAAAACATGGAGGTCCACATGTATGTAAGACAACAAGTGATATCCCCCTTATAATTCTTACTAAAGGGGACCCACTAGCAAAGCTTTAAAAGTCACTAAAGCATTAGAACAATACACCTGAAGGACCGAAAAGCAAGATGTTTTGAGATCCCATGCCGAACAGCGAATTGCCATTTGCTAGATTACAAACCACGTAGAATGGGAAATTGAATATGCAAAAAGTAGGTACCCCCAAGTTCAGTGAGATCAATGTAGACATCATACATATGACTATTATTCCTTCTCTAGAACAGTCTTTTCTTAAATTGCTATATCCATCAATAAAAATCAAAGAAGGGTAACTCTGCATAAGATATTGATAATGCAAGGAGGTCAAAATATCCAACTACCATCGCACAAAAAAAATGCATATGCACTACTGACAGCTCAGTTACAGGTTCTATATAAGTTAAAATACATAAATACACATTTCTTTCAACTAAATTTGCTTGCTCATAAATTGTGCAGTGTACAATACCACAGACGAATGTTTATTTGTTGTTTAGGACATTGACAGTCTCCAGTGCACATGTTTGACAATTACTTTTCTAATTATGCATTCATGAAAATCATTAAAAACTACACGGAAGTAAATCTAATAATGTCATTTTTCACATATCAAATATTGATGTTTATACATATATAAGTGATTTAGGATTCCCTTGTTTTACTGCACACGCTCCAAAGGAGGGAGTAACATTTGTTAAATAAGGTGTCTTTAAACCAGAGAGTTTTTGTTATGTTCCTTCAAAAATAAGTCATTTTCATTTCGTTTTTTTGAAAAAAAAAATCATGGTCTTTCTTACATTCCATGTTTAGGAGATATACTTTGTTGTGTAGACGCTGACTTGTAAGTTAAAAAGTGGGACAAGTTAGTTAGGGGGCTTGATCTAAGGCAGAATAAACAGCACATAGAGGTTTGACATGGAGTTTAAGACCCTTGCAGAAAGATGATTACCATGCTAAGTATTCACCAAATAACAATCAGCATATTTCTTAGCCATGAGCTTAAGTTCTTTTCAGGAAGATGGTTTAACTGCTTTCGGGTCAGGGGCATGAATTATAGAAACCATAGAAGGGGAAATCTTTCACCAAGATAGTAGTAAGCACACACGCCACTAACACACAATGGAGTTTTCAGATCATACCTTCACCTCAGGTAGTGACTTTACGTGATTAATGATTCCATCAACAGTCCAATCAGACACAGACTGAATACGAGAAGTGACTGGAAATAGGATCTCAATAGCTTTCCGCTCACCGCAGCGTGCAGCAACTTCTATAGGCATGTGTCCAAGCTGTTAAGTGACAACACAATCAAACAAGAAATCTTACGTCAAGCGAGCTTTCCTAAACAAATACAGCTGAAAGTCTTACGCATAAATATTGACATATGTCAGGCATTGATATTGTAAAGGTGTCCGAGGAAATGCTGCTTGCTACTATCAGCTCACTGGCAGTGAATGCAATTTCAGTTCAAAATTTCAGAAATTTCCAAAATATCGGTAATTTCGGACCCCACTGGCAAGTCATTATCTCAACCAAAATTTTCAGTTTTTTCATAAATTTTTGTGAGTTTGGTCAAAACTTATTCCATTTCAGTCAAATTGTATTAAAATTTCAAATAATTTTGGTCCAAAAAGTGCCGAAAAATCCAGAAATTTCAGGAATTTCGGTGCTACCGAAATGGCCAAAATTTTCAGCGAAATCGAAAGTGAAACCTCTGCTCGCTGGAGAAAATTATGCAGATTTATAGAGCCACCAACAGAATCATTATTCAACAGAATCAACAGATTTATCGCAAGCAAGGTCTCATCCTAGTATACATCTTGCATTATTACAAAAGTGAAATCTACCATGAAACAGACATCTTGACTAAAAGTTATCTAAGGATGATGATTGTGCATCTCACATAACAATACAACTAAGCCACTAAGGTCTACTAGTTGAGGACAACCATTACATGCAACAGGTTAGAACTCTGATATTGGATCAATATGACCAATGTCTGAGCGTTTGGAATGTAGTTCTCATACAGTAAGAGAACTACATGAGCAGCATTGCTACACGCTTGCGCTATTACAAAGGACCCAAACCTGCATAATTGCTTGTATCAATGTATGATCCGATGCTGTTCATAAATTGGCTGAAATATTCAATGCATGCATGGATTGCCATGTCAGGCTTTCAAAATAATTATCAATATTTAGAAAATTATGCCAATACTTCAAGATGCGTAACTTGAGAATTGTGATTGACAGATATAGTTAATAAATAAGGGGAGTGTGTCCATTCATGACAATGATTCAGTTTCCCAAAGTGGAAAGATTAAAATGTCATTTTTTGTTTCTTTTTTTTGCCGGGCCAGCAAAAACAAAGTTGGACACCAAGGAAGGGCTTGGTGTAAATGGTTTTAAGAAGAAAGAAGTAAATATTCCTGGGGAGCGTGCTCGACAAGAATCGAATTGAACCCGGGCCCCCAGGTGCATGCCAGCAACCCCTGCCACTGCGCAATGAACGCATCTCAAAATGAGTCAAGTTCTGTTTCTACGACAATGAATTTACAATCCTCAAGGTAGAAGAACTTACACAGTCACGAACATTAGGGTCTGCACCAGCCTCAAGTAAGCACTTTATGATGTCAGTTAAGCCCTTAGAAGCAGCAGTTATTAAAGGTATTTCTTTACCAATTCCTTTCACATCTGCGCCAGCCTAACAAAAGAAGTTTTTATTTCCACTTAAGTCCGAACAACATGATTTTTGTTTATGCTTCTACAGAGTAATCCACTAGCACTTGATGTAAGATAAAGAAGGCATACCTCAATCAGGAGCTTCAGACATTTCAGTGAGCCAGACTCGACAGCAACAAAAAGAGGTGTATAGGCACCCCAAGATACCTTCTTGTGCTGTTGAAAGATTAATAAAAGTTCAGAAACTCAGATAAGGACAGACTGCAGGTGGTCATAAAAGGTGGGAAATAACCATCAATAGAACCAACCACCAATGCAAACATATAGGCACAAACAGATATGATAGTTGGCACAAGCTTCAGTAAGAACCAAAGAAAAAATAAATCCAACTCACACAACATCACAAAAGCATTTGAGTTTATGTATTGTTTTATCATCCGAGTTAGTATTTTGCACTAACAGAAGTCTAGGAGCAGATATGCAAACTAGGATCGGTTAGGAGTGCATGAATTTAATAGAAATTTCACACCGACCAGATCATAATTCTAACATAAATCCTGCTATTATCCCAGTTCTCCCTTGTTTGGCTGCAGCCTTACCAACTGCTACTGTTCAAGCCCATATATGCCACGATATCCAAGAGTTTATCTAGTTACAATAAGGTCCAAATTTGAACAAACTACCTATCTCTTAGGAGATCATATATTCTGGTAATTATTCAAGCACACGTTCCTTTCCCGCTAGATTCAGTTGTGCTATAGGTTGTACTGGGTGTTGATTTTTCAATCCAGTGTTTGGGCCTAAGAATTTATTTATAGGCATTCTGAAAAACATTTTTGCCTAGCTTTACGTTTTAACAATAGTGATTTTAAGCAGGTATTCAGTTAGGGTAAGCTTTACTGAAAACGCTGTTTGGCTGAAATTCACTTTATGTTAAAACTGATTTTGTTGTGTACCTTCCATTCCATCCAAATATATAGGGTATATTTTATCATGCACAAAGACCTAGGAGGCATAAAAAAACAACTAGAATACACCTAATTATTATTTTAAGTTCTATATTCAAGCCATGCATGTAAGAAATACGAAGTAAATTTGACTAATTATTAGGAGTCTAAAGGTACATGACTCTTATTTTGCGTATGAAATAATCCTAATACTAATGGCCAAGACTATTAGAAAGATGCACCCAATAATTTGGGACAGAGGTAGTACCTAACAAGGTTTCAGTGGTCTGTGGTCAGGAGCAACTAAGGTTCTTATAAATTTTAACAAAATCAGATTTTCTAAAACACTGTGTCCAAATAATTCAGTAGACATTGCTATAAAAGCAAGTAGATGTCTTCATTTCTACCATCTTCCTTGGTTTAAATAACGCTTGAGGTGGATGACTGAACTAGAAGAAAATTACTGAAAGAAGTACCATCCAACAAGCACCAACGTGAAGTTTGATCATATTAGAGAGCAAGTTGGGGAAGGAATAAATGCAGTGACACTTACATCTGCATGGTGGTCTAATAAAATCTTCACAACAGCATCCCTCCCATTATAAGCAGCACAGTGCAGTGCTGTTCCACCAGTAGTCAACGAATCAATATAAGCTCCTTTAGACAGCAAAATTTCAACTATTTTGCACTTTCCTGAATAACAGAACAGGATATAGGATAAGTAGAGCAGGAAACGCAAAAGATGAGAAGACATAAGTTCAGATCATCTAATACGGGATCAACAGTTAGAATTTGCATACATGAGAAAACTAATGTTTGTTCATGTTGACTACTAAGCTACAACATGGAAAAACAGAATGGATTACTAATTATTCCATGGAAATTTCAAAACACACAAGGTTTGTGAGAAGCTTTAGCACGGACTGACAATATAAAATGTGTGGTGCCCTCAATTTATCCCCAAACTATGGCATGTTTGTTACTTCAATCCCTCTTAACGCACAGAAATGAACAAGCAACAGCAAAACTTTAGAAGCTAGCTTACATGTTGATATAAACAAAGCAAGAAACACAGGTTATACCTTCACCAGCAGCAAAATGGAGAGCAGTAAGTCCATCGTTGTTGATCTTTTCAGTATCAGCCCCATGATCAAGAAGATACCGCACCATGTCCTCATTCCCACAATTGATCGCAAATGTCAATGCCGTTTCACCTGTCAATTAAGGACACAATAAACCAAGGATCCTGACACATTTTTTTTGCCACCAATTTGAGGGAACAACCAAAAGCAGCGAGATCAAACCGGCCGCTAAATGCAAACTTGAATTGATACTCAGCTATCCACACAAAACTAGGCACTCTTGACATGAGGCACGCACGCACCTTTGTTGTCGACGGCATCAACATCCACGCGGAGCTCCTCCACAAGATAATGGCAAACGGGCAGCTTCTCACGGGCGGCGGCGAGGTGCAGCGCGCCGAGGCCGTCGCTGTCCCTCACGGCCCCAACCTTGTCGGCGAGGCGGCCGTCCCCCTCGTCCAGTGCCCTCACGTTCTCTGCAAGGGACAAGACAAAAAACAATAAAACCAAAATCAGCACCGAAACATCTACAAAACGGAGATCGGAGAAGGAGTATCAGTGCCCCCCGCATTGGCGCGTACTCCTGAAGATGCGGAGGTTTCCCTCGAAGGCCGCATGGAGGAGGACCTCCTCGAGGAGGGCCTTCACCGGCGGTTGGCGGGTGCGGGGGAGGGAGCGGCCGCGGCGGCGGGGCTAGGCCTGGGGCGGTTCGGCGGTGTGGATCGGGGCGGGCGGCGGGCGGCGGAGGAGGAGGAGGAGGGAGGGAAGCGAGGCGGCGCCATGGTGGGCGAGTAGGCGACGCCGCGGCGGTGTAGGGTTTTGGGGGCGGGAGGTTTGGGATTCGGAAATGGGTTTGCGGTTGCAGCGAGAGGTGTAGGCGGGAAAGAAGGAAGGCGAAGTGGAGGGGGGCGTGGAGCGGAGATTTCGTTCAGATTAGGCCGATGTTAGATGCAAAGTTTTCCTTTAAAATTCTAACTTTTTCCATCACATCGTTTCAAAAAACTTCCAACTTTTCCATCACACCGTTCCAATTTCAACCAAACTTTCAATTTTGACATAAATATAGATGGAGTATCAGAATGTGTCCTTTAAATTTGTTGTCAGTTATTACCTTCGTTCCAAATTAATTGTAATTCTAAATTATTTAGTATAAATTAAAGTTTAAGAAAAAATACTATAATATCACTTTTTAAATGGTTTATAGATAAAAGCGAACGATAGTTGAGCGTAAAATAAGGAGAAATTTAGATGAGAAGTAATTAATGGGATCATTAGTATTCTATTGGGATAATTATTGGGAGAATAGCCTATTTGGTCCTTCAACTTTTGCTCTGAGGTCAATATGGTCTTTTATATTTTAGTTTGTTCAAACGGGTGCTCAAAGTCTACCTTTCAGTCTATTATAGTCTACTATGGCCCTTGGCTGATCAATCGATGTAGCAGGCGATCGATGTACACACAGTAGTTGCTGCAAGTTTGCAACCCTTCTATATCTTGATGGACCTGGATCTGCATGCCTGCATAATTGCCATGAAAGATTGATATGGTTCACAAGGAGTATATACATTTATGATGTATAGATTAAATATGGATCAATGATTAATGGATTATTGGTCTGTAGGACCTGACAAATGATTTGTTGCTTGAACATTTGAACTTGCTGGCTTACGCTATAACACCTTCATCAAAATATGTCAGTTTTGGATATTTTCGAGTCCAACCTTAATTTCAATATATTGAAGAAAGAAAAAAAAAGATTCGATATGATCACTACTATGAAATTTTCACCAGTGCTCTCTCCTTCCTACCCTAAAAAAACTCCACAGGCGTCCATTATAGTGTGAGGATGCAGCGATGAATGGTGCGTGTGCTCCTGTAATCTATATCTATACTTCTAATAAATTACAACCACTGGTGGAGAAGGGATTTTTACTCCCGGTGGAGAAAGGGTTTTTACTCCCGGTTCGTAACCCCCTATAGTCCCGGTTTTCGCTATCTTTAGTCCCGGGTGAAAAAACCGGGAGTAAAAATCCATTTTTAGTCCTCTTTAGTCCCGGTTGGACTAAAAATACTAGATCCGGTTGCTCTTTATTATTTTCTTTTCTTCATTGTTTTTAATATATATTGATTTCACCTCATCCTGTCCCCAAAATCCCAAATCAATCATTCTCAAATTGCCTCCAAATCCACAATCGATCATCTCAAATACTCAAATACATCACAAAATCTCAAAAAAAATTACATTACAACTTCTACAAAATTATCAAATATTCACATCACACACAAATCAAATACATCACACAACTATCAAATCCAATCAAATACATCACACAACAATCTCAGATTCTAAAAAAAAAAAAAGAAAAAATCCGCCGCCTCGCCGCGCGCCGCCGCCGCGCCGGCCGGCCGGCCCGCCGCTAGCCGCCGCCGCGCCAGCCGGCCGGCTCGCCGCGCCCCGCTGCCCTCGCACCGGCCGCCGCCTCACCGCACGCTGCGCCGGCCGGGCCTCCGCGCCCGACCACCCTCTCCATGTTAGAGAGGAGAAGGAGAGGACAAGGAGAGGAAGATAAGGTTGAGGAGAGAAGTTAAAAGGAGAGGAGGAGATAAGGTTGAGGAGAGGAGGAGAGAGGAGTTAAAGGAGAGAAGGAGATACCTCGATCCAATCGCGCATGCCTCTCCAATCTCCGCGTCGATCTTTTTTCCCGGTTGGTAATAAAGATAGATCTTTAGTCCCAGTTGGTAACACCAACCGGGAGTAAAGCGTATGGCGATCTTTAGTCCCGGTTGGTAACACCAACCGGTACTAAAGATTGAAAAGTACCCTGGAGCTTTCAAATCGGGACTAAAGATGTTTTTAGCCTCGGTTTTTAATACAACCGGGACTATTGTGAAATCTGGTCGACCGACCAAAGATGGTTTCTCCACCAGTGAACCCACCAACATGCAACCATACCACATTATCACCCACTAGCAATGATTACATATTCAACCTCGTACAAGCATGCAACATCATCTACAATCTATTTAATTCTACAAATCAACAAGCATATCCAATCATCACCTCTCAAATCATTTTCACATTAGGTTTTACAAATCTATATATTATTTTTATATTATTTAACATATACTTATCAATATATTTTACATTAAAGCGCCGGTTTGATTTGTTTGTTTCATGATAAATACTAATAAGCCCTAACATTTCATTATTTTTTTTCTTTTTACTCCTAACTCGATTGTAATGAAAAGCGCGGGGAATCACCTAGTCCCTTCTTTCTATAAAGGTAATGCCCACTTACTGCAATTAAGGACCTAAAGCTCAAACCTCAGGCTTCCACATCATCATCAGTTGTGAACCATTGGATCGATGCATTATATCGCTTCTCAACCATTGGACGCAGCATAGTCTAGTTGGAGTAGAGCCCAATCCATGTCACTTACGGTCGGGATTGCATGGTAGACACTACAAAAACCCATAAGTACAGGTATGGCTTTGAATAATTTGTTTTGCATGATTATTAGTAAGGAAGTCATAACCCTTTTTTAGAGTCCATAGCCTTCATTCGGGACGAGCAAAGGTTAAGTGTGGGGGAATTGTTGACGGTCTTTAAATCATAATATCTGACCGTCAACACCTGCATATAATGGAATAAAATATGATATTCAACATAGTGGTAGGGTTTATTACTAACCATTTCCACTAGTGTTGGTATATATTTGGATGCAGGTGATAAACTACTAAAGTTAAGAGGAAATATACATGAAGGAGGATAATCAAACTTATATCCAAACTTATGGAGTTTTGGACCCAAAACCCCAATTAAATACCTCCAAATGGGCCCAACCACCATGCCAATGGACTAAGGCCTCAAAATCAGTGTCCATGAGGAAAAACGGGGCCAACGAAACTAGCCAGGGTTTTGCTGAACCCTGGGTTCGGCTGAACCCTGACAGAGGCCGTTGGCCCAGGCCCAAGTTTAGCTCGGTGGCAAACCTCTCCCCAATGACGGTTATGGCTGTTTTCACTTGTGGAAACCGTCATCAGCTGGACACTTGGCAAGAGGAGAATGAAGATGCTCTTTGGATGCTATGGATGATCTCCACACTCCCAAGACACCTCTACCTGTAAATAGAGCTCATCTCCCTCACTTCACACACACAACTTTGAGCTGAATTACAAGAAGCTCTATCGTATCTTTTGTACATTAGAAAATAGATAGAGAATGAGGGGAAGCTCTGAGGAGTGCCCGGAAGTTTGGCGCTCTCTCCGACTTCTACCTCAACTGTAGCTTGGAATTTTGGAAGAGTACCAGAGCTGTCGTGTACACTGGGTTCAGAGAAACTTCTACTAAGTAAGCATTCAGGATCATTTGTTATGTTATTTAATTACTTAGTCTAAGTAAGATAGATTTCCATCTTTACGGGTTCATTGTCTAGTATTCGTACTAAGTGCTATAGTACTAGGACTCTAGATAAATAAGGAAGTTCATGCGCAAGTATTAGAGTAGTAATTAATAACTTAGGCGTGGTGTCTAGGTTAGATATTAACTTTGTTTGTTGTATATCCCACGGATTTATCAGAGGTAGACGGCAGGTGGTGACAGTCCTAAATCCCGTCCCAGTAATCCTCCACGTTCAGATACATCATAGAGCTATCACCGAAACCACGCTAGCAGACCAACAGGGGTCGATGCCCAAGCAACAAATAGGAAATTACTTCTTCAATCGTCTTAGCCTGAGGTAGATTACACACGTTCCCTAAGTTTGCTATCCTTTTGCGGTCACCAAAGATAAAGTGCTACAACGGTATTTCGTACATTTGCAGATTTATCTATAGTCGTAAGGAATACCAACATGCGGGGAGGGCTTGTGCCGCGATGAGGCGTCGGCGGTGGCACATGAAGTGATTGGTGTGGAAAACCAGGCAGAGGTGGCCATGCCAGTGGCAGTGTACCTCTACCTCGACGTTCTGTGTAGCCGGCGGCGATTAGGTTCATCGGAATATTATTGTGTAATAAGTGCAGAATATAGGATTCCTGTAGATTGAACACGAAGTGCCGTCTACTGATGTTCATGTAACCATTCCTGTATTTGTCGTGCGATTATTGTGGATACAAAGTTTATTATACCAATTGCTTGATTATACTGAAGTAACTGCTCGACGTCCAACAAAATACTCGTAGATTGGAACCTCACATTCAGTGATAATAGTTGCGATCAGTTTCAAGTAAAATTTACAAAGCCGTGCCAGTTGCAAAAGGTTTTTACCAGGTTCTTGTTTTCCGGACTCCAGATTGAGTTAATTACATAGTACAAGTTTTGAGTCTTGAACTGACATGTAATTCTTGAACTGACAGGTAATTCAGGCAGCACGAGATTTCTTCAATGATTTGAAAGCCTCCCTGCACAATAAGATTAAGTCAATCACTGTGGTAAACAGGCATCAAAAAGAAGAGACATGGTACATCCAAAGATGAGATGATTATCTACAGGTTTTAAAAGATTTTATCTGATTAAATTCATCAGGAAAAGTCAGCACATGTATCATATGTATCTACAGGCTTATTTCCAAAGATTTCACATGGACAGAGATAAATAGGTTACCGTAGACCATTTTCAATCTCCATATTCGCTGGGTCCAATTTAAGACCATCAAGAAATGCATCGCAAGCCTTATCAGTCCTGAAAACAAAATAATTGTTGCATATAAAAAACGATTTTGCCTGACAAAAAATATCAGCTTGGAAGTAAAATAAATATTACATCTCACCTTTAAGAACATGTGAGCAGCCCCTTCCCTGTAGCAGGCCTTTGGCCAATCGGGACACAACATCCTGCAGAGGTGAGCATCTGTCAAAGCTTTCATTCCTTCACCCATCTTAAGCCAAGCAAATGCTCCTATTCGAGTACAAGTTCCATCTTCAGGTTCAAGATTCGTCGCCTAACAGAAGGGGAAAAAAAGCATATCAACAGTTACCACAATTGTCAATTGGTACTTGAATCCAATCCAACAGAGTGATATGCCCGTTGAAGTGGTTTTATAATAGATGTACAGTCTGGTGTGACATCAGTACAACTGAAGTTCTCCAGCAAATCGACATTGGAGCATAGAAAATATATATCATATTAGATTATCTTCAATAGCGAAACACAAAGACAAGTTACAAAAAACCCTATTTGATATTATATAACAAAGATTGCCAGGAATGCCAATTGCCAAATAGAGAAAAAATGGTAGCAACATTGCATTAGCTCATTATCACAATGAGGATGGCTTCTTTAACAGACCTCTCAGGAAACTAGCATTATAATTTACTCCCTCCATCCTACATTATAGTAACTTATTATGGCATTCAGAAGTTGTCCATAAATATAGTGACTTTTCCACCTACTTTCTCATCTCAAGTTCTTAACCAATTACAACCATCTCGCATTTGATTTCTCCACCTATCCTCATCTAAACCAATCAAAACCATTTCTCATATCAACCTTAATTTTTGCTAAAACTCACAGAAATGATTATATTTTGGGATAGAGGGAGTATAACATAAATGTAAAAAGTTCAAGAAAATTGAAAATTAAAGCATTAAAGGAATCAATTAAAAACATGAATTACACTACTATTTGAATTCTTGCTAGAGACTGAAAACTGTGCACGTCATCAAATCATGAGTTCACACACTACACGAGAGTTTGGTAATAGAATAGGGTGAAACACATACCATAGTGTAGAGTTTTGTGGCAGTAAGATAGTCCTCTCTCTTTTATGCCCTACTTCCTTCTAACTTCAGATCAGCTGGTCTTATTTTGTACATGGGGTCATCCTGAAATTATAAAAAGAAGCAGATGATACTAGTTGAGGACAAGCATGTGAAGGCTAATCAGTATGTTGATTTTTAGGTCATCTTACATTCCAAGATCCAATCTTTGTATATTGTGAACAACAAACATAGTTGTTCAACAAGTATATAGGTTTAGTGGTAGAAAGGTTCCACTAGCGTCCATTGTCCACTAGATTCATATTTTTGAACATACATTCATATTGTCTTAATTTGTAGTTATTAATGCTATCATTTTTGGAATGACTTGTTGATGATGGTGAGCTCTACATCCATCCCCTTCACTTTACAAGATATTTGAATAGATATATGCAAAAACAAGGAATCTTTTGTGAAGGATTGCATCATCTGAATATCGCTATTTAAATTTGCTTTCATAGACAAGAAGAGATTTTTTTTAAAAAAAAAAGAAGGAAGGGGTAGGGGAGGGGGAGGGAATTTTAAGGAACAACGTATGGGCTGGGTCACATGAATACATGATAGTGAGACAATGGAATGGAAAACAAAAATCTCAAATCCACCTCAATGGAGTGCACATCCCAAATCTTCACCAATTATATTGATCTGACAAGTTCACTTTGGTTGCACAGTCATACTTGAAAAAGGCAAAAAGAGTGAATAAAAGGCAACACTTAAGTAGCTAGTAATTGAAACTTCAAGCAGCATACCGAGAGACAAAGCATATGGATAATTGGTTTTATTTTTCTATAATTCTGTCACCCCTATCAGCAGAGATTTATGGAGATTTTGTATCAACCTTGAGTCAGGGTGATGTATCTTAAGAACTTGTATACAAAAAAAATGCTCTAGTGCAAATTACCCAGTCTTAATACTACCAGGCAGTAACTTATAGTGAATCTGCCACCCACCCACCTCCACATTGCTTCCTTAGGCAAAAGTACATACCAAACTTTCCATAATCCATATGCTATTTTTTAATTATTTGGCCTTATAATCACAATATAATATGAAAATGTCCAAGATGGCCAGATGTATTATAGTATATACATGTAGCATACGAGTAAAGTTTACAGTCCCTCTAAAAATAGTAATAAATTGTTAAATCAGCAAGTGTAAACACCATCCGTCCTTGAAAAAAATAGACGGGCATGTTTGCTGCAAAATCACATTATACTAAACAGTACTAGGATATGTAGGATCTCATTTTATTATCCACAGCAAATGCAAGGTATTTAGGTAGCAATATTAAACATTACAATGAAGACCTAATTCATACCTGCACATTTTTGTTTACATAAGTAATTATCCCATCAACACTCCAATCATACACAGATGGAATACGAGAAGTTACTGGAAGTAGGATCTCCACATCTTTCCGTCTGTTCTGAAATCCAATAATCCAATAAGTCCATGTACGACTTGAAAAGAAAATATCTTTTTTCTGAAAAGCTATAAGATTTATATCATAGAACAATAAAACATTACAGCACATGGAATACATACAAAAAAAAAGACTCCCAAGAATAAGCAAACAAATTGCAATCAAATTGACATTATAATCTACACCATGCCACCAAGTTTCAACCATATCATAATAGACAACATGCCACCTGTGAGGCTGATGATGGAACTTTTGATATATTAGTGCAGCATTATTTTATAGTTTAGCTTAGAGATTGCCTACATGAGATCAACTGTTTGGTAAAAACGATCATGTGAAGTTCCTCTGAGAACTATCAATTATATGTAAAAAAAGATGTTGCATGCATAAATTCAGCTTGACAATATAAACCATCTAATAAATGTGTATTACAATCTGAAACCAATCTAATTATAATTGCTCAGTTGTGTACCTAGAAATTATATGCATGTGCACATCCATGGAACAAGTAGGATAGTTTGAATTCAGACATAAAATTAACAAATTATTCTTAAATCACAACAGAAAAACTCGATTAGCGAGTTTCTTTAAGATGGAAAAAAGAATGTGACGAACAACGTATTGTATTAAAAAAACTCACCAGATAACTGTCAATGGGACATTGGACATATATAGTAGTATGAGATCACAAAATAGAGCATCATATAAAAGTATGAATATCAACAATATAATTTCCATGAGTGAAAGCAACCATCCAATAGAGTAAAGAAAATGCAGTGCAGAAAGGAAAAGAGAGTTACTTCATCAGGCACATTAGGATCAGCACCAGCCTCGAGTAAGCACTTATAGAAATCAGTTAAGCCTTCAGTTGCAGCAGCAATTAAGGGGGTAAAAGTACCAACACCCTTAATATCAGCACCAGCCTAACAAAAAAATATTGCAGATACCTTCCCTAAATAAGCATGTCATAATTTATACAATATAAAAATTAAATATCCACCAAAGTATTGCCTCCTAAAGAGGAGTTCAATAATGTGATTTTTCAGTTTGCATGTAAAAAACACAGTATATCACCTTAATCAGAAGCTTCACACATTTCAATGAGCGAACCATAAGCGCTGCGATGAGGGGTGTATAAAATGTGGAAAATACCTTATTACACTACAAGATAATTAAGAAAAATCAGTATGCAGACATGACATATGTTAGCAGATGTTTTGTAGACAAAGAAAGAGGTATAAACAGAATATCAAATAAAACCATGTTGCCAAAATCATAAATAAATTTACAAATATCTATATATCCTATATAGTTGGCACCAAAAACTTGACATGCATTGAGCCACATCATCTAGAAAATAATAGCCTTTGAATCCTCTCATGTTTTGATCTCAACCATCCATTTGTCATGCATTTACAATATATGTAATGCAAAAGCACATAAACCATATGCACACTGTTGGTGAGCTAACATTAATCAGCACAGTAAGGATTTACTTTTTTTTACTGAACATAAAGATTAGAGTAAAATACACTGGTGATCCTTGAAAACCGCATCTAGGTACGAGGGTGTTATCTAGGTCCATAAACTTGAAAACCGCATCTTTAGACCCATAAACTTGCTGAATGTACCAATGCCGGTCCAAAATATGACGTGTGCCACAGGCATGCTAACATTGCACCTTCACCAATGCCACACCGACTAACAAGTAGGACCTACCCACAAAATTTCTACACCAAGGCTCTTGGTCCAGTTTTTTTTGGGTCAGACTGCTGGTCCGACCTGGATTTTGTAACTGTGGTGGCAAGTCAAGAAATGTTTCACACTCAGGTAACCCCACCAAAGTTGCTCTTCCTCTGTCTCCATTATTAGGGTGAAATCCATCATCCTGTCTTCCAACATCTCGATTCCTTTATGTAAACAATCACTATTAAGCAAGTTTTCATTCAACAGATGGAGGACAGGGGCGCTGTAAAAATTAACAAAGACCTCAATGCTATCTACCAGTTTAGTACCTCATCTAATCTCAATGACCTTGACATTGCACTATGAACAGTTTTTCTTTCGATTTATCCGTATTTACAATTAAATCATTTTAATTTTAATAATTATTTTGTTTGGGTTTGAATATACTCATTTCATCCAAACGACCCGCTCTTTTTCATGGTTGTTCTTTTCAGGGTAAAAAGTGGCTCATTTATGATATTTGACAGCAATAAACATTTTCTGCCAGATCAAATAATGAATCTTTCAAATGTAAGCAGCAAGGAAGGGAAGAAAATCATATAAGAAAGCTTTACATCTGCATGGTGGTCCAATAAAATCTTCATACAGCCATCATGACTTTTCACGGCTGCAATATGCAGTGGCGTCCCACAGTCAGAAGATGAATCAACATCAGCTCCTTTCACTAGTAAGACCTTTAATATCTCGCAATTTCCTGAATTAGAAATATTGTGTATACAATAGGTCACTATTATGCATTATTGTAAATGTGTAGCAGTGCAGAATATACAGCAAGCTATTTGTCACTCCAACAGTTTTACTGGTGAAATATAGTTAATTTTATTACCTATACTAGAGACCATACCTTTTCATCTAATGTCCAGTTTACATCTTGTTCTAATTGATGTCCTTTATACCAGGAGAATAACAAATGGGCTCGTGCTCACATATTTTGACAACTAATGATGAGAGCCAAGTACCCAACAGTTATAATACTGATAGAAGCAGCTATGTCCCCATATTTGTAATAGTCACTCATCAACTATCTCCTCAATGCAGTAATAGTATTAGTTAAGTTGTAAAGTATATTATTGTTTACAGGCTCCAGCAAACTAATAGTAGTTACTCTCCAATGACATGCATATATTCCCTGCCAAACTAGTAAAATGTAGTATGTCACAATAAAATTTGTGTCAAAGATTTAGAGTTGACAACAATGAAAGTCAGTTAGCAGGCAACTTGTAGCTGCCACCTCATCCATGTAATAGTTGCTCCTTGATTACACATATATAGCTGCCATTTGAGAGAAAAAAAAGAACTCCACTATGCCGTCTCTAACATACGTAGTACATATCATTATGCTCATCGTATAGAACACAATTGTGTAAAAGAAATGCTAACAAGGTACTTGTGAAGGATATGCGATCATTTTAAAAAAAACAGAGGATATCAACTTCAATGGACCTACATTCTCTAGTCTATCCCAATTCTTGTATTCCGTTTTCTTTGGCTTGCTATAACAAATTAGCGACAAGGGGAAAAGGGATTAGGAAAGGAAATGATGACATCACATGCTAAAAGAAGAAGATGGAGAAATACAAAAGGGCCACAAAAGATTAGAAGTTAGAACTAGAGTGCTAAAACACTAGTGGCAGTGACATTAGTTGCATAATAATTAGCATAACCATTGATAACAATATTACATGCTTTGGAGTTAAGGGGGGTATATCGTACTTTTGCGATAGTTGAGGGGGGCTAAAATTGGACTTAGGCTGCATTCGTTCCCCTGGGTTGGGAACCCAACCCTCCAGCACGGAAAACGGAGCGGTCCATTAGCGTGTGATTAATTAAGTATTTGCTTTTTTTTTCAAAAATTGATCAATATGATTTTTTTAAGCAACTTTCGTATAGAAACTTTTTACAAAAAAACGCACCATTTAGCAGTTTGAAAAGCGTGCGCGCGGAAAACGAGGGAAAGGGGTTGGGAACCCTGACTATAGAACACAGACTTTCGCAACTTTCATTATTTGCAGGTCTCCAAACTAGAAACAAATAATATATAAAAAAAAAAGTGGTGTGCAACTATGCATGCATAAAATAAGGGACCATATGCATTGAAAGGGACCTTGTTCAACTGCTAAATGGAGAGGAGCACGCCCTTGTTCATTGGGCTTATCAGGATTTGCACCATGATCAAGAAGATAACTCACAGTATACACAATCCCACCCAGAACTGCATAAATCAGTGGCGTAGCACCTATTGGAATCATTGAAAAAAAAACAAATCAGGGTTTCTTGTAACAAACAAAAGAGATCAATCCACACTGATCACTTATCAACAAACAAAAGATAGGAGGTTTGTTGATAACGTGATAAATCAAGTGCATTCTGTTGATATCAGTTTGATAAGTACCAAAGGAACAAAATTAAAATAATAAGGCGCTGTTTGGTATTGGGGTTGACTTATGATAATCATGTTTGGTAGCTTTTAGATATTTTGGTGTTCAGCAAACTTATTTTCTTTTAAACAGTGTTACAAACAATTATATTATTGCATCCTGAAAATCCGGAACAATTGAGAAAGAAACATGACAATTAAATAACTATATCATCTAACCATAATTAATCTATAAAAAAAAGGCATAACAAACATAAGTTTTTCCACGGCAACTTAAAAAAATAAGCACAATGATGCAACAACTAAGCCTAAATAAAAAGAACTAGCACAAAGAACAACCAGATATGGCCTACAATATATCCAGATTACGCAATACAGTAGAAGATGTTTAAAAGATTATTCACCAGAATCAAGAAATTACTTGCTCAATTTAAGCAAAAACCATTTCAGAAATTGTTTGCTCAAATTAATTACCTTACCCAGTTCCGTTATGACTATAACAGTACAAGTAACTCTCTCGGATGAATTAAACACATCAAAGTAACGTACATCCAACCCAGCCTCCCCCCCCCAAAAAAAAAAAAAAAAACCAAAACTCACCCACCGTGCGGGTGCGGCTCCAGTGTTGCAAAGTTACCGCATCCCACAATACCACAAATGCCATAGATCTCAAATTTCTCAACCTCTAAAAAAAAATCTGGGAAGTCGCTTTTGCTAAAACGAAGAGATTACCTGACTCGTTGGCGGCGTTGATGTCCACCTGGAGTTCCTCGACCAGGTACACGCACATCGCGGTCCTCCCGTTGCGGGCGGCTTGGTGCAGAGCCCCAGCGCCGCGGTCCTTCACGGCCTCCACCGCCTCCTTGAGGCGTCCTTCCCCGCCGTCCAGCCTACTAGCAATCCCTGTCGAATCAATCCCAACCCCCCAAATTTCCCCAACCCAAAATCAGCTCCCAATCGCGAGCAACCAAAACACGGGAAGTAGAAGGCAGTGGAGGATCGGGGCCCGTGGAGCGCGCCGATCAATCCGAGCCGCACGCACTCTTGAAGAGGCGGAGGTCACCGTCGGCGGCCGCATGGAGGAGCAGCCGCTGCGTCGCGCCTGGGCCTGCAGGGAGGAGGAGGAGGAACAATTAGCACGCGGTTAGGTGAAGCTTTGGGGGCTAGGGTTTAGGGGTGCTCACTGCACGCGTGAGGCGGCGCCATGGCAGTGGGGGTTTTGGGAGGCGGGAAGGCAAAACCGGGGATCACGCTAGTGGAATTGTAGAAATGGAGAGGAAGAGACGAGGAACCCGTGGCAGACAGAAACAGATCCACTTTGTGCAGTCTGCGCCCACATTTTAGTGGCACAACTGCAGACTGCACATAAAGTTAGAGGATCTGTGGCTCACATGTTAGTGACATAACTGCAAACTGTATAAAGTCAGGGGTTCTGTCTCCTCTAGGGAGTGTACAACTTTAGAGGAGTCTCCTCCTCACGCAGACGAGTGTACAGGACGATAAAATGGGGATTATTTTCGCTAAAACGTTATCTGGTTAAAGGGTTTTCTTTGTTAAAATGTCACTTTTACGGTTTTGACAAAATTACACTTAGGCTTCGCTCGATTCTTCAAACTGGAGAAAAAATTGTACTACACGCGAAACATTTAATTAATTGTTATAAGTTTTAAAAATTGGATTTATTTGCTTTTTAAAAACAACTACTACATAGATTTTTTTAAAAAAGAATACATCATTTAACAGTTTGACAAATGTGATAATAATTCTTTTAAAAGAAGGCATTATTTAATAGTTTAAAAAACGTGCTAATGAAAAACGAGAAAACTGAAGTTTGGAGTTGAAGAATACAACCGGGCCTTAGCCTCCTCTTCTTCCATCGATTCGTAAGAGTGTCTCCAACAGCCTCTTCAAATCGGACTCTCCAAAAACCTATATTGCCAGCTCTGCAATTGATTTGTCAAGCCAAACACATTCCTTGCTCCAACAGCCTCTCCATCTAAACTCTCCATTAGGGCAATAGCAGTGCGCCACGCGATTTTTCTGATTCGTTTGCCGGCTAGATGAAGAACCCCATTAGCCACATACTCCACAGTGCAAGTTACCTACCTACGAACTACAGAGGGTCCCACTAGTTTCTTTTTCACTTTATTTCCGGTCTCTCTCCTCTCCTCTCCTCCTTTTCCCATCTCTCTCCTCTCCTCATTTTCTTCGTCGACACTGGAGAGCGCGAGCGGCAGGGCGGCGTCGGCGGCGGGGTGGCGACGGCGGCAAGATCCACCCTCCCCCCTCTCCTCCCCCAAAGCGGCGGCGACGGCAGCGACGGCGGCGGGGCGACGAGATCCACTCCCCTCTCCTCTCCCGAAGCGGCGGCGATGGCAGCAAGATCCACTCCTCTCCCGAAGCGGCGGCGAGGGCGCCGAGGCGGCCACCCTCTCCTCCTCCGAAGGAGGTGGCGACTGGAGGGAGGGTCGACGAGCTCCCCAGCAGCGGCATGGAGTGGGGGCTGCCGTCGCGTTGAGCTCCTCAGCGGCGGTCGATGCTGCCTCCTCCGGCAAGATCCCTTCCCATTCCCCTCTTCCTCGTTGTCTCTCCTCCGGTCCTCTCTCTCCCTTCCCTGTGGCGTGTGCATGACAAAATGTGGGCCCAAATCTGTAATTTTTTATGAGGAACTCATGGCAAGATTTGGCTCCCCGTTCCTCGGGAGGCTTCGCAAAAATCCAACGTGGAGGAGAATCTCTGACCTGGCCTACCTAGGCTGAATGCCCCGTCACTACATCATAAATGGCCTTACGAGCCTATGACACTGGGACCCACACATCAGCCTCTAAATACACCTTTCTTTCTCCTCTTTCTCTCCTCTTCCTCTTCTCTCGACACTCTACAACGCAGAGGCTGGCGACGGCGGCGGTGGCTCTCTACGACGACCTCAGCAACGGCGACCTCGATGATGACACGTGGAGCGGAGGCGGAGGGGGCCGAGGTCACAAGCGCGGAGCTAGATGACGGCGACGGCGGACGCAGCCGGGGCGGAGGCGGCGGCGGCGGACGCGGCCGGGGTCGGAGGCGGGGCAACGACAACACCTCGCCGCTGCACTCCCTTCATGCCCTCGACGCCGGCGGCCGGCGAGTAGGAGGCCATGGCAACGCTCGCCGTCGTGCCGCCCCACCGCCGCATCCTTCGCTAGCAACCTTTTCAGGAGTCAGTACGCGGGTAGTGCAAGGTGAGAGAAAGGCTATCCGCGTGGGATCCACGAATAGCAAATCTGTTTGGGCTAGTCAAGTTTGGCTATTGAGGGGAGGAATTTAGCCAGTCATTTGACTTAGCCATTCTAGTAGAGATGCTGTTGGCTGTTGGAGTGAGATATTTTGCTAAAATGGCCAAAATTTAATTTAGAGAGTCTACTGGAGAGTGGCTGCGTTTGAGCAACATTGATCACGGTGGCACCCTCACTACATGATGCGCTGGCCCCATCCCCATATGTAGAGCTAGCTTTGGACCTAGACCAGTTGCGCGACCACATAGGCCAGGGGGCCATCATACCCAACCCTCAGTTCCCTCAGCCCCCTCTCTCGCAAGCGATGCCTAGCTAGCCCAATACTTCTGCTTCTTGGCGGTCTCGATTGGCAGGAGGAATTCAGGGAGGTAGCGAGGCGCACGTCGCGTCCCCTCAATGACGCATCGTTTCAATTAAAAAAAGGGAGAATCTAGTTGTTTTGCTTCCTTCCTCGGCAGTCAACTCTAGTTCAGTCCGGCAGCAGCACCACCGCAGCAGGAGGACGCTCACGTCGGGACGCCTGAAAATTAGGTTATAGGTTAGGCATTCTCTCTTCTTATGTTGTTAATTCTTATTTGCATCTATTAGTTTAAAAATGGGACGATAATTTGTTTAATTTACTTCCCAATTTCAGTTGTTAGAATGTTCCTATGAAGTATGAAGCATAGCATCAGCGGAAAGACTTTTTTTTTTCAAAACTGAAATTACTGAAAAAAATATTTGAGTTCAATTATGTCATAGGAAATTAAATGTCCGAAAAAGTTCTTTTCCATCAGACATTGAATATTTGTGGTCTTCTATTTAAGATATTTATGCTACTTTATTTCTGTGGTTCTTTTAGTTATCATTTACACTATCAACATTGTTTATAGAGAATAAAATGACATATTGCAATTTATAACTACTTGATTTATTATTTATCATGTTAGCAATATTTATTTCTGCCACTTTAGAAGATACATTATTATAAAACTTGTTTTTTACTTTATAATGTTAGTAATATTTATTATCCAGAAATTTTCACTTCTAAGCACATGCAACCTTCTAATTCCAAATATGAGCAGGTAATGGATGGAATTCTATTTTTAATCAAGAAGCCCACATGTGTGTGCAGTGGTCTTCTATCGGACTTAATGTCAAACGAAATATAACAAACTAATGGCTACTGATCATTGGACAAATCACTAGCTCGTAGCGACTTGTGCTACTGATTATTGGACAAATCACTAGCTCGTAGCGACTTGTTTAGGTCTAATTGATTGTTTGTCGTCAGAAAAGAAAATCTTATTACCATTTGCAATTGGTTGGATCAACCATTACGAGATATGGCACCGTGCCGTCATGCCATTAGTCTCGAGCTTTCTTCGTCTTTTTTTTTCTTAATCCATATTTGACTTGGATGTTGTTTTCATTTTGAAAATTGGAACTGTAGCGGCCGGTTGAAATATAATCCATCTGCTTGGATCATCAAAATCATAATATTATGTGTGCTAACAAATCTTGATTTGTTTCACATAAAAGCTGCATCAACAAAGGGTAATTGTAATACTAGCGAAACATGTTAATGGATCATTTGCTTTGTGCCTGCTAGCTAGTTTGATTAGAAACAGAATTCAGGACAATACATGCTCACATTTGGAATTATGAGGTTGCATGTTCTTAGATTAAAAAAAATCGGCGTTAGTTCTAATTTTCACAGGTTCTTATAATTGCAGGAAACGTGTATTCGGCCTCCTATATGCGATATCTACGATACTCAAGGGCCAAGGCACGTTCGATTGGTATCTGAGCCAATTAATGAACTTTCAGCTGCATGCCCTCTGAGCTTGTCTCCTGCATCCTCCTTGCGTGAGGCCGTGACGGAGGGAGACGATCCCATGTTGATAGCATTCCCGTAATTTCAATCCTGTTGCAACGCAAAGGTATGACATTTAAAAAGGGTTAATCGGATCTATGTCATTATAAATTTGCTGATTTTAAAAAAAAATTAATACTATTCGTGAAAACTAGGTGGATGCCATTATACTCTTTTAAAATTAGAACCATGCCATTCCATCATATTTTCTATCAACACCTTGGTCAGCACAACAGGCCACGAGCAACGACCATACCGCTTACCTATCAGTGCTCTCGGCTTGCCACTGCCGCACCGGCGACCTCGTGCTAAGCTCGCACTATCGCCATTACCACTGTCGACGAGTGATACTCGCGGACCGGATGTATAGAGTATTGGGGTACGTTGGAACGAGGGTCTACGTAGTACGACGTCAAGCAGACAAAAAACAAGGATTATATTGGTTCAGGCCCCTTGTCAGTTAATAGCCCTAGTCCAGTTTATATGGAATTGATGACGATGAGAACATATTACAAAGAGAGTAGTCGAAACAGATGGTACCGATGAGATCGTAGTCGAGGGATTCGACGAGATCTCCCGGCGACTTGGCTCCGTGTACTTCGGCTTCGTAAACTTTGGTGGGGGTGCTGGCGATTGAATTGGATACCCTGAACCCCTCCCAGGGGGTCCCTTTGATACCGTGGATCATCTTGCCCCCCAAGAAAGGTTTGAGGATATTGGACCTGTTACGGTATAACAGAAACTCAATCCTTTCCGAGTAGGACTTTGGAAATCACTTGACTCGTATAGATATTTTCTATAATTTGTAATGGTTTCCACACGACATTTACAGGAACAATCCATATACACGAAGGTATACCTTATCAGTATATTCCATAAGTCATAGAATAGGAGGTGTCTGTAACCCTGATAGTAGCCCCTGACTTCAACTCAAATGAATTCATGTTGTCGTTCGCAACTTCTCTTATCAACGGCTTGTCGTACTCACTAGACCATTCTCGGCATGGACCGAGAAGATAAGGAGTTATTGACAACACTAACGGAAGTCTGTCTGGCTAATCATGAATTTGAATTGAAGTCTGAACAATTGCCCTTAACGGGCCTCAGGATTTTTCGGCGGCAATCTCTCTCCTTCCTCGAAATTCGAAATGTTGGGTAGTGCGCTTATTTAA